ACTTTAGAAGACGTAAACAGAATTTTTGTCAATAAGACTTAAAAATAAAAAGCGTATCGCGGAACGCGTATTTATTTATTATTGCTAAATTCGCTTCCTCCGTTATCAAACAATGTAACAATTGTTAAACCCCGAAAATTACGATTATCTATGTAATTAATCGTCTATATTCTCAGTTATTCGTCTGGGAAGTAGTTCTAGTTCAAAAAAACGTAAACAATTGGATAATAAATATTATTATTCATCTTGAAACTAATATGAAAATAAAGGATTTTGGCGGTTTTATGCATACCTATAATTACTTACGGAGCATAGAGTACAAACCACTTACAAACATTTTGCCAATGTGTTATTAAACCGGGAAAAATCGTAAATTTTATACAACCATGCCCGGCAATCGTTAGCATTCAAGTTTCAGAGTACTTAGTGCAAACTTTGACTATTTTAAAATCTAAGCGTTCTAAGCGCTAAGGATGACAATCGCAGTCCAGACGTAGCACTAGGAATGACTTCGATCTGTCAAAAACGTATAAGATTTGATATACAGGAGTCTCATCTCACATGTTCCCCTAAAAATTACATGTATTTTTGCACTTTTTGCCTACCTTATATAATTTAATACATTTTCTTTTTTCTTTTCTCACAGTGGTTGCCTGGAAGAGATCGCTCGAAAGCGATAAGGCCGCCAGTTGCCTTTGCTTTACTTGTAATTTTGTTAATATTTTATATCATAAAGCAACAAATTTTCAGACAGATAGATTACGTCAACAGTAATTTACTTTTTTACACACTTTTTTATGCTTGAAAACGAAATGCATTTTCGAGGATTCCGTCAAAAAATTAATACGTTTAGGTACTATTATTTTTGAGAGCTTTGCATACTTTTGCTGACAAGAGGAAGGGGGGAGGGGGGATAAATTGCAGTAAATCTGCTTACGTAATACTTCAACGGCCCCTAACTTCGTCTGGTCACTAATTTGTTTACCACCGGATGAAGCTCAATACCATTGAGTATGTGAACGTTTTTATGAACGGTCTTGTATAAGTTACACAATATTCGAACATTGGGTAATCGGAACCGAGAAAGGCTACAATAACCTCACAACGTCATGCCTTTTAATATTTGCGTATTTAGGGCCTAGGTTTTTCATATTAATTATCCTATTTGGACTTAGTGCATAGATTAACTCTCATCCGTCGTAGGTTCGATCCCCGGCTGTACACCAATACTTTGTATGTATGTGCGCTTAACATTCGTTCGAACGCTGAAGGAAAACATCGTAGGGAAGGCTTGCCTTAGACCCAAAAAAGTCAACGTTAGTGTGTCAGGCACAGGAGGCTGATTATTTACCTATTAGATTGGCAATTGATGAAACGGATACAGAAATCTAAGGCCCAGACCTAAAAAGGTTGTAGCGCCACTATTATATTTTATTTTAGATTAAAAGAACTGGATTTTTAATTCGTTTAATGGAGGTGTTCCAAACAATTGTTTCATAGATTCTTCGTTGGTCTATCAAAATACCAATAAAAGAGATGCCAAATTTGAAATTGCAGGAGTTGACATCTCTTTAAAAAATCAGATGAAGATGTCTGATTCCATCACTAGGATTTTTAATAGAATCTACACTAGTGGCGTTTCTTACGCTCCTGTTATAATCAAGTTAATTCAGTCATACCATGATAGACGTAATTGAGGAAAACATAATGTAATATGAAAATGAGCCAATCATAGCTTATTATCAAATTATAAAGAAATATTTATATCGTCTCTACAAAAAATATATAAAATCCTTTGATTAAAATTGTAGCTTCACGTGTCTAATTATTATTTGTTAATAAGTTATGGGATAATAAGCGAAACAATAGGGCTAGGTTTTCTTATCCTACTACTACTACTAAAGATTAAATCTACTAACTTTATATTTAATCTTTAGTTTGACTTTTTTGATTTACGCCTTTCGTTTACTTAAGTTAAAATTAATGTATGTTTTAACTGAGCATTAATATCAGTATTTAAGATAATAAGTAATCATTGTATTAAATGCCTGCTCTTAAGTATAGTTTTTAAATGTAAATATATATATATATATAGTATTTAAATTTCTATATTTTGTAATAGCAAAACCACACTGCATTTTCCGAAGTTCCTTTCTATTCTCTAAGCATACGCAGTTATGTACTTTGTACGCCGCTGCAACAATCTTACGACTGAATCATTTATTCTAACAGGAATTTAATTGCGCGCCGATGCATAGCAAACCATTCTCATATTTACTAAACCTTCACTAAGAACCTTCGAATACAAAAGTCATAGACAAATCAATAATTTATAATAAACTTATTTTGATAACACAAACCTTATTGTTCGACGTTGAAATTCATCCGATCTCGTTCGGATTCATAAAAATACAAAATAAACAATCACAGAACTATTATGAAACACTATAACGGCACGTTGACGGTGGGGTCGCGATTATGGCGCAGAGCGACATGCGTACGCGCTGATGATTCGACACAAACTGACGTTGGCGCGAGAATATGGAGTGAATGTAGTGACCTTCCCGCCTACAGTAAAACCTCTTTTCCTTGTACTTCCATATCGGCTGAAAAATTAAAAAAGCTTGCCAGGATCTGGCCTCGGAATCTATATATAATAATCACGGTTCTTTAAAAATCAAATGCGAAAATTGCCTCACAAAGCTCGAATATTAGATTGCAAAGATTAAATCGCTACCCTGATCTTTAAACTAATCTATGGCGTAAATACATTTAATTTAAAATTATAGATAAATAAAGGTAAAAAAATTTATTACATTTCTACATTAATAATTCTTATTTCATAGGTCAATAAATAAATAACTTCCAAGTTTTCTGCCGGGAATAAACAATTTTCTCTTCAAATAAAATTAATTTTATTTTGGGAGATTGGTTGCCGCCTTGATCTCTGTGTAAACAAAATAATGGGATTAGTTTAGACATATGCAATTATTATATATATAGTCATAATATATTTATTTATTACTACTTTAAGGATTTTGAAAAAAAAGGTTTTAAGCTGTAGAAGATACAATATTATCAAATAATATTACTGATGCTGTTCTCTAAGTAGTTCGTCAAACAAATTTTTGCGTATTTTCATACGCACAGGAGAACTCGGCTAATCCAATAACTATAGAGACAGTCGGAAAACTATAATTACAAAATGAGTTTTCGCCAAGTCAGTTTTTTCATTTGTTGTCTCTACCTCTATAAACCCATGTTTCGACAACTTTGAAATTTTACAAGCTATAATTTGTTTAACTTTTTTTGTCATTGGAAGCGATAATAAAAAACAAAACAAGCATTTTTTTTTTAAATCAGAAGTGATGGGATTGTACGCAAGAAAAATACAATTTATCATTATATTTTATTTGCCATATTAAGTAACCAAGTACAGGAACGAAATAATTATATAACCGTATGCGATCATAGGAAACTAAGATGAATTAAATAAATGAGATTAAATACCTTTTGGTATTATAAAGTACCGGACAGGACTATTCCCGCGTAAGACACTGGTTACTTGGACTCATCAAAATTTGACATTGATTAATGACATTTTAAGCCCGCTCCAAATAGTAGAATAAGCAAAACGGAACGTTTTATTTGATTTGTTCTCGAACCTCTATATAAGTCCAATTACATTAAATACATTGGTCAGTAACGATGAGTTATAACAATACATTAGAAAATATATCAATATTGTTAGTTATTGGCACCGATTTTTATTTACAGTAACATTGTGCTCCTTGTGCGAGTATCAGGATGTTTTATTTGGTGCTGCTGTGTGTAAAAGATTAAATTCAAATTTATCTTTTAATTAGATTATTGTAGAAACAATTAAGAAATAAAAAAACTAGCATAATTTGATACTAAAGGCGCAATACGGGCAAAACTATTAATGGAGTACCTAAGCTCGTATTCCAAATCTTGAATTTTATATAACATTAAAAATACTCAAGGATATAGAGTACAAGCCAAAATGCGTTCTAAAACGATCACGAAAGAATTATACAGATGAAAGACCACGTTCCCCGGTCTTATAATTCGGTATTATCCTGCTTTTTTTTTTATCTATCGAAATTTTCTGTCACTATCATAAACCCAGCATATAAATATTCTTATTTCAGGTCGTTCTATACTTAATTTGATGATTGGCGCCTTGTAATGTAATCGATTTGAAACTCACATAATATTCAAACACCACAAATTAAAAATTTATTACTTATCTTACTTATATGAGAAATCCCTATTGATCCCTTCGGCTACGCCCATAGATTTCTTTGACAGCGAGTCACATGACAGATGACACATTAAATAAGTGACATTTACTAATCTTTTGTTGAAATTGTTAACAAGTTGGTAATTAAAATATTTGTATTCGATTTTTCTACAAAATATCTTCCATTGAAGGAAGTAATACTAGTAAATCTGGTATAACGTCACTTATTTAAGTTCTTGACACCTTGAGCATTGAAATAATCATTCCTACTTTACTACCAAGCGTTACCAAGTGTTACTACACAAGCGCTTCATAGTGAATATCGGTAAACCTGTAAACATTGTGTTTAGTGGTGAAGCAAAGATTTCTAAAGCCAATTTTTCTTTCACATGTAAAAGCAATATTTGTAACACTGTATCATATTTAAGGATTCAGTGATTACCCTGGCTATCTTATAAATGAAATAAATACAATTTAAAACATGACAAATGTCTATACCACTATTTTGACAGCTCTCTCCACCATTTTGTCTATGGTTGTTTATGTAATGTCTATGTTTATTGCTTTGAAGTTTATACTGAGCTTATAATGAACTTTTTAGAATTCGTTCAGAAACTCGAATCAAGGCCATATTCCTATATTTAATGCTCAAGACAAGTGCCAGTAACCAATGGTCATCCATTATTTATAGCAACTGCTAGTGTCGCGTAGGCGGGGGTCGTGGCCTGGGTCGCTCCTATCGTTTACCATTGTTGTATGCCAGAGTTCGAAGTGATTTGTGTCCGGCAGCAGCTTGTGTCTGAATTTGGTAGGCCATAGGGTGGATTTTAAACCCATATAGTCTGAAAATTGTTTATTATATAGTATATGCTTTATAACATAACAAAATTTATGTTCAAAGTGTCCCTGATGAATGTTATCTTACTGTTATATTACAACTAGTATTTTTTACTTTATGCATCTATGAATGTAATGGTAAGTTTACTAGGTTTTTGTTAATAAAATTAATGAAATAAAGGGGGTAGAATCCGTGATTCAGTAACATATCATAATATTAAAAAAAAACATTATATGAACTCAATGCATCTTCTTATCCTAGCCTGGGCTAATACTATTTCCAACACACACCCATGAATTCAAAGATATACTATACCTAGGCACAAACTCTGAACTGGGGCATTGCGGGCGATATTCTGGATGTACCATGAACACCATGTGTGGGAAACCAGTTCCAAAGTAGGCTCCATCTGTGCGGTGGTGACGTGAGGATCTGGGAGTATATACATCCATACAACGGGGGCAATACAGCTTTACCATTGCTGCACCTGGGACATCTGACAATCCTGGAAGAGACAGCTTGTAAATGGAATTCTTACAACAACAAAATGAGTATTTTTTGTTTAACTTTACGAATTTAGTCAACAAATTTTTTAGTACTCGCTCATTTCAATGTTTAAAAATATACTTACCAATGGGCAACATTTTTTGGCATTCACAATAAACACGGGGGCAGGTACCAAATTCTCCAACTTGAAATTTTTCCAACATTTGGCTTACACCTCTGAAAGGAATATGTTCTTTATATATTTATATAAAATACTAGCTGCCCCCGCGAACTTTGTTTCTACTTAATGCCTAGTCTACCTTTTTAGTACATACGAACATGGAACATTTTGCTATTATACCCGGTTCGGTTTTCTGGAATGAATTTTTTTTAGGTTTTCTGTGATTTTTCTCTATATAAACCTCAGAGTTCAAATTATAAGTTCTTAACTAACAAGTAAAAAATAGGGATTTGATTGTAGAGGGTAGATGAAAATTAAGGATTGTATGTATTTTTGTATGCTGTATCATAATAAAATAAAAACAAATAATTTTGTGTAAAAAATTTTTGGGGTTGACACCCCTTATCACTTAGGGATTTGGAAGATAGTAGTCGATTCATAAGAATTGGTTGAGCCATTTTTAGAGGAGTATGGGAATGAACATTGTGACATAAGAATTTTATATAAAATATAATGAAATGTGACATTAATGCCACCTACATCATATACTGTTTAAGCAATGTGTTAGTTTCTTAGAAAATTTGTCATGTATATTGCAAGTTTATACTTTTAGCAGAAATAACACAACCTGACTTTTGATACCTGTTAGTTAAAATGTAACGGGCATGAATCAGACCATAGAGCATTTCTGCAGCCTGTTCCACCAAATCTGATTGATTTTGATTTTCTTCTAAGTCATCATCTGAAAAAGAGTGTTTAGTATTGCTTTATTTAAATAATTACTATGAACTGACATATTAAAGAATCAGGTAAGGAAGAATAAGGGATTTGTGATTTAATGTTAAATATCTTTGTTGAATTAAAGTAGAAGAAAAAATTTATAGTATATAATATACCTGGTTCTAAGTCCAATATCATATCCAAAGCCTGCCTGAAATGTGGAACATGTTCATTGAGACCTGTTAAATTGAACTTATCACTTATATAGTCTTCGTCCACCTAAAATTATTAAAATAATTAGTTAATCGGTGCACTTATGACAAAAAAATTTATAAGCATGGACATGATTTAAAATTTTAACCTCGCAGAAGTATTCATTCCCTCTGAGGCCGCAGAACCAATTTATCCATGATACCTCCTCCGAACTGCTCATTTTTCTGAGAAGCAATTAACAAAATTAGTAATCTGACGTAACCCAAAACATCGAATACAACGCCTAGCAAACACAGCCCATACTCCATGGATCAATCTGAGACTAATGATCTATTGCATTTTTATGTTTTATGCTTTGGTTCATTTAACTGCGTTACTAAATTTTTACCTTAGATTCCTTAAATATATTTTAATTCAAAGGTACATTTAGAAAAAGAGCTGTTCCGACTTCTGAAGACAAAATATTGGCGACTCCAAAATCCAAATACCAAGATAATGATAATTGATATTATAGTACTTAACTACTTATAGGACTCTGGTCTCTGGACTAGACTACTAAAACTACATATTATTATACGCCCTCTTGAATTTACCCCCTGAACTAAAACTGAAACAGTATAAATATAAATAAGAATTCAGAGTAAAAATCAAAAGAAAAAAAGTGCGTGCGTACAAAGTACACGTATTTGTATACGTGTATTTTTAAATATTTTAATTTAAGCTGTTGTAGTTATGCTGGTGCATTTTACATATAAATTAACGAACATTATTAATCTAATTCTAATTAGGATTTCGTTAATTTTTTTTATCTAGTTTTTCTTGACTTCTCTTGCCATTATTTATTTATCTATATCAATATTTACCTTTTTGTGTAAGGGATGATCACAAAATCCTATTATTTGCGGATGACACTTCGCTTGTTTTTAAAGTTAAGCGTCAACTTGAAAATTTTGACCAAGTTAATTTGGCACTATCTAAGGTTGTCCATTGGTTTTAATGTTAATAATCTGCTTTTGAACTCAATAAAACTAAATTATAAAATTTTCTACCCTAATTGAGCATTAAACACCAATGTACAACTATGGAGTAAGTTGGAACCTTTAGTCAACTGTTTTTCTTGGCATTACTTTGACGCTAAACTACAGTGGGGCCCACACATTAACAAATTGTCTGAAGGCTCAGTTCAGCTGCTTATGCTGTAAGGAAAATTAGACAAATTACTGATGTGGATACAGCCAAATTGTTTATTTCAGTTATTTTCATAGCTTGATGACGTACGGCATTCTCCTTTGGGAAACTGTCGGATATTAATACAATCTTCTTTTACAAAAAGAGCTGTCCGCGCTATATATAACTTAGGTCCTAGAGTTTCTCTCCAGAGAAATTCAAAGAGATAAACATTCTGACTTAACTTCACAATATATTTTTGAAAATTTACTTTATGTTCACAAAAACGAACCGGATTTTGTCAAATTGTCTGATCTTCACTCCCGAAATACTAACAAAAATAATTTAACATTCTCTACTCGCCTTCATAGAATAAGCAACTCTCATGGGTCAATTATACGCTTTTACAATAAACTTCCTATGGATGTTCGTAAACTTCCCCTTAAAAATTTAAATTTTTTTATTAAATCAAAATTATTAACTAAAGGATATTACAGGATATCCGATTATTTAAATGATAGAAACGCCTGGGATGAGCTGCTCGCTTATACACTTCGCTTGTGTTTTTTTAAGCTGTCTTTCACTTCTTTTTTTCTTTTTTTTTGCATGTTGTACATATTTACAATCGACATGTCTTGTGCTTTTGCATATGCATTTTATTTTATTCTATTGACATGTTTGTGCTTAGTGCATATTCATTTTTTTACATTTTTTTTTCTCTACATTACTGACATGTTTTGTGCTTAGTGCATATTCATTTTTTCTTTTTCTACAATACTGACATGTTTTGTGCTTTTGCATACAATATTTTACACTTTGACATGCCAAGTGAATAATGTTTATATTACGATTATATTTTTCAATTTAATTATTTTTCCTTGCTTTTAAGGTACACCTTAAATATACATTTTGTATCCATTGTAAGTGTAAACATTATGCGGGTATATCATAAACTCTTTTGCTTGATTTATAATTTGATACATTTTAGTCTATAGTTATTTTGGGCTGGCGATCTGAGTGAGTTGTTGCCCCACTATGGTGCCTCTGGCGGTATTTTGTGTACCGGGTTGTGCAGCTCCCTCAAAAATGGTTGAGCTGCATGAGCTTCGGGGCATCTAGCCGTCTGCTGCGCAGGCTTGCTCAATCGATCTGGTTCTTTCTTCCAAAACCAGTCCAGTAAATTACTCTGCATTTGTTTACACCAACTTATTAATTTATTATTGTATTATCTGGACTATAAAAGAGACTAAACCCCCAGTTGTTTCGACATTTCTTCTCAGGGAGTAGGAAATGTCGACTTCATCTAGTTTAGGAAGACATTGTAAAAGTGATTTATATAGTCCTACTTGCAAAATAAACTATTTCATTTCATTTCATTTCATTTCATTAAACTTTTTGCGAATTGCGTTGGTCTCATTTTCTTTTCGTACACTATTTTTAGAGTAGGTACTTTTCTAAGGCTACGTTCAGATGGCAAAAATTTGACGCGCGTTTTCACATCGCGCGACTAGACATTGTGGTATTTTCATACAACTGTTCACATGAGCGCACGTTAACGCGCGTTAGCGAGCTTTAACGCGGCGCTCAGAGAAAAAGTCTCCAGACGCAGGTGATCGCGCGTTGACGCGCGCTTTGACATGTATGTAACGTCCGTAGACTGTTCAGTTGAGCGCGCGATTTCATCGCGATTGTACGATTTTTTTTGTGACTTGCTTTCGTAATCAGTTCAATTGATGAAGTCCGGAAAAGGCCAGCAATTTGGGATATAGCTTCAGAATCCTATAAAAATAATTTAAAAAACGACGTGCTTGGAAAGAATTGGTTTTAATTTTCTGTAATGATACCGAATCTCAAGAAGACTTTTTTGTAATATAACCACAAAATAATAGCTTCTTCCACGTCCATTTTTTAAGCTCTATCGAAAGACTGACGAGCTCTCACAATTCGCAACGCGCGTTAGCGCTTGTCATCTGAACTCTTTATAAATTTTAACGCGCGTTGACCTGCATTAACGCGCGTTACATGTGAACTTAGCCTAACCGTTTGTCTCTTATTTCGATATTGGAGTGATAGTTATAGCTATTATATGTATTCGGATGGATTCTGGACTTCTTAGTAGGTATAATATATTGTAAAGAATCGTGCGTTTTAAAAAACTTTTTTCCCCATTAAATAAATTTACCCCCTAAAAATCCCCTGGACATCATAATTCTACCTAAATTTGGGAAGCCCTTACGTTGGCATCATCTGCGAGAGTAGTTGTTGTTTTCGCCTCACCCTCGCGAACCAAAAACCGACAAAAAGCAGAGGGGGCGTCTTCTCGTGGGACGTGGAGTGATGATCTAGGAGATGGGCTTTAGTTACTTGAGGAGATCGAACATATACGTAGCTATGAGGCGTCGCTCACCCGCCCCGTTTCGTAACGAAACTTGGGAGACTGGGAGAAGGTACTTTGAATAGTGGTGTCAAAGTTTCTATTTCGTTAAATACTTTTTGAAAGTGACGCGATAGCGCAGCGTTCACGCCGCGACGAGGACCCGAGCTCGCTCGAAGACAACGACGAATATGGGAGGATCCATTATTAAGCATTCGATTGGGAGAGAGCGACTGCTTCGTCTTCGAAATCAAAAGCCAGTAGTAGCGTTTCCTCTATACAATCCATTTTGTTACTCAGTGTACAAAACGCGGAAGGTACGCCGTCAGCTCACGTCGTTGTCACGGCGTGGACGCTGCGCAATCGCGTCGGTATCAAATCGCTCCCTAATCGCCAGTGTGATAAGGCCCTTACTTGAAAGTGCTGTGTTGCTAGAAATACGATTATCGTCTTTTATTTAGTTTTCTTTAGCCGCGTTCTTAATTCCCCCCCTCCCTTCTTTTGGGGGGGGCCCCCCCCCCCCTCAGGGGGGGGGGGCCCCGGGGGGGGGGGGGGGGGAAAAATTTTTCCCCCCCCCTTTTCCGAAGGGCCAAACATCTTGAACAAATGTCCTTATCTGCGCAGAAGCGATCTTTAGGTATCACTGGGGGGGGGGGGGGTCACCGGTGGGAGAGTGACGTGTCGATCGCGTGTCGTATTGGTAAATCAGTTGACGTTTGTATCCCGCGCTGCGCACTTTCCCCCACTCCCTTGTTTAATGTTCAAGATGTTTGGCGGTATATATAAAATTTCATTATTCAAATGTTTATTTTCAAAACATACTTTAGTAATAATATGTTCTATGCAGTTCTATGCATATGTAATATGCAGACGGCAGTATATTACCTGTTCCTATACACATTTTAAATTTCACATACATACACATAAAAAAAAACAACAAATAAGCCGCATTTTTATTTACAAATCTGTCTTTAAATGATTATGCTCAATACCCATAGACAATATCTATTTTTCTTGTATAAATTAAATATTTTGCTTTCCAACTATTGCCTCAATATCATTAACTTCTTTGACACATGTGTCTGTCAGTATGAGTGGATGTCCATCCGTGATGAGGACATCATCTTCTATTCTTATCCCAACACCTCTGAACTCTGGAGGGACGCTTGTGTCATCTGGACTTATGTAGATACCTGGGAGTATAAAATTTTATTAATTGTAGATAAAAATAAATCAGTGGCGCTACAACCTCTTTAGGTCTTGGCCTCAGATTTCTGGATCTGTTTCATGATCATTTTTAAATCTAATAGGCAAGTAGATGATCAGCCTACAGTGCCTGACACACGCACAACTTTTTGGATCTAAAACATGTCGGTTTCCTCACGATGTTTTCCTTCACCGTTCCAGCAAATGTTAAATGCGCACATAGAAAGAAAGTCCCTTGGTGCACAGCCGGGTTCGATCTCAGGTATGAGAGTCGCACGTTGAAGCCACTAGACCAAACTTATACATACATACATACAGATACAGTCCTAAATACGGCGAAACGGTTTGCCTTAGCTCTCTTAAACAGGCTACATAGCCATGTGAATGCTGAGGCAATAAACTTCTTGATACAACAGGAATAAAACGCCTAAAGAGAACTAAACCTTTTGAGTTCATAAATCTAGTGTAGTGAATATAAGTGCAAGTGTGGTAACTCGGACACATGAACATAGTGTCAAAATTATAGAACACTAAGACTGTTAATGAACATTACCTTAGTTTAAGCTATTACTATTAGTATTGTAGAATTAAGTCAATATAATATTACTTATTAGCCATAATTATTGTATAGGCTAGATTGTAATTCATGTAAGTCGCACTCTTTTTTGAGAACTTTATAATTATAAAAAAATTGTAGATAATTTGAGCAATTATTCATCAAATAGGTCATCAGACCAAATTAATTTGCCAGGAATCAAACTCATGCTCTGGGCTATATGGAACGCCGTTCGCAATGTGCATTGACATTGTTTTTTATAATCTTAAAAAACTATATACATCATTTTTAGTAGGAGAGTTTATTGCCAGTTCTTCTCTTCTACGCCCTTGATTTGAGAACTGGGAGTAAATGTAAAATTAGAAGCATTTAATGTATATTTCTTTTTCGACGTTCATAAGTGTACATTGTGTTACCTACATGAATAAATTATTTTTGACTTTTGACTTTTTTTTGAGTAGAGTGTCTCTTTACTGAAATCCATCAAAGTTGGGTCAGCAGTTTAATTGCATAGTACTAACCTGGTTCTACAGTCACTATCATATTATTAGTAACGGGAATCCTTCGACGAACAAGAGGTGAATCATGAACGTCTAGTCCAAGGTAATGTGATACATGGTGAGGGCATAGGCGGTAGGCACGCTGTAAAAAACAATAATAGCGGCTGTACACACTATAAATCTTGATAATCGTGATAACGGCTAAAGGATAGTGTTTCTGCCGACACCGTTAGCGTACAAAGCCTTGCTGTTTCCACATCTAGGTCAGTTGTTGGTGACACCGTAGGGTTTTAGTGGCACAGATAGTAAGTCCCTCAAAACCTTCCACCTCAAGCCATCGCGCGAGGGCTAGCATAAGGCATTTCCCCTAATAAAAGAACTGTTAGCGTTCCTGCTGAATATGCATAGCCATAATGTTCTCTTATCTATAATTGACAATTTTTTTTAAATATATGTATAATTATTTTTCTCACTGGATTTTATTTAAATTGTTCAACTTGTAAAGCTACCAACATTTGTGGAAAATCCGGTGGAAAATTTCCTTTCGCATAGAATACATGTTCTTCAAATTCCGGCTCGAAGGACCAGTTTATATTATTATTATTTTATATATTTATAAGTTGACTGACCCCTATAAGTTCATTGGCGTCAATATTCTTAGGCAAGATTCCTTCTTGCTGCAAATAAAGCCCCAAAAGCCTACACATATGATCAAATAGCTGGTCCAATGGCGGTCTCTGCTCACCCAATAGCTCTATTAGACGTTTCTGAAAATATTAATAGTGTTGAAAAACTTTACTGAAAATTCTTAAATTTAGATAAGGTAAATTCTTAAATTAATTAAGCGTGGCTTTACCAACGCTGAGGTCGTATTCGAACCCCGTTTAATAATAAATTTTCCAATCTATGTGCGCTTCTACAACAAAGAAAAAAACATAAAATGGGACAACTTCGACACAAAAGTTGTTAACAAAGTAGACATATAAACTGTTTTTTTATTTATTTATTTATTTATTTATTTATTAACACTTCGTTGCATATACATTAATATAGTACAATTGACATAATTAAATTAGAAGGAGAGCAACTGGCGGCCTTATCGCTTTCGAGCGATCTCTTCCAGGCAACCACTGTGAGAAAAAAAAAGTATTAAATTACATAAGAAAGGCAAGAAGTGCAAAATACATGTATTACATTTAGTGGTGTAGAAAACGAAACTTATCAGGAACAAAAAACAAACTAAACTAATAAAGAATACAAAAAAAAAAATAATAATAATAATAAAAAGTGCACATGAATCATTTTCAATTTCCTAAATCAAGATCAGTCTCACGACAGTTGGTAGGTACCTATTATTAAAGTTAGGGATACGATGTGGACAGGTAAAGCTTGTAAAGAAGAGATTTAAAGGAAGATAGAGAAGGAGCTAAGCGAATAGGGACTGGAAGTGAGTTCCATAGCTTAACTGCAGAGACCTTAAAGGATTCGCCAAGAAAGGAGGAGTTATGACACGGGATTTCAAGGATATAGTTTTCGGAAGAGCGTAAGCTATAGTTATGGGATCCCAAAAATTTGAAATCATTTTTGAGATAGGAAGGAGTTTTAGGGTTGAACAGAATGGAATATAGGAGATGGAGAACATGAGCATCGCGTCGCTGACGAATGGGTAACCAGCCTAGCCGTTTACGGAACGCAGAGATATGGTCGTACTTTCTTAGACCGAATATAAATCGGATACAGAAATTTTGGAGACGATCCAGTTTATTTAGCAATTCCTCGTTTAGATCGGAAGAGCAAGAATCGGCGTAGTCCAGTAATGGCAGGAGGAGAGATTTAGCCAGTGAGGTTTTAGTGCTAAAGGGAAGAAAATTACTAAGACGTCGAAGGATACTGGAGGCACCATACAATTTGCGGCTAACTTCTTTAACATGCTGCTCCCAGGATAAATTTTGATCAATTAAAACCCCCAAATTTTTTACTGTACGGCTGATATTTAAAGTGACACCGTCGATATGTACAGGAGGTACTCTGGCCCAATCAATTCTCGTCGTGAAATAAGGGCTGCCAATAATTATTACTTTACTCTTGTTGGGATTGATTAGTAGACCAAAGTTATTACTCCAGTCAACTATCTTTGCCAGCTCATAGTTAGTAGATTGTATGGCTAGTGGGAGATCATCGAGACTTGATTGAACGTAGATTTGAAGATCATCGGCGTATAAATGAAAATTGGTTGAAAGACGGAAAGTTAAGGAGTTAATATAAATAGCAAAAAGAAGAGGAGAAAGTACGCCACCTTGCGGAACGCCAGATTCAATCAAACTCCACTGAGACATGCAATCGCTTGTCTTAATGCACTGGCGGCGCCCATTAAGATAGTTAGAGAACCAGTTAACTGCATGAGGAGAAATATTAATCGACCTAAGCAACCCCATTAGAATTTCGAAATTAATTGTATTAAAAGCATTGCTGAAATCTAGCAACGTGAGAATTGTGAGTTGTTTGCGGTCCATGCCTTCCCGAATATCATCGGCAACTCTGACCAGAGCAGTAGTCGTGCTATGTCCGGGTCGAAACCCAGACTGAAGTGGATTAAGTATGCAATTTCTGTTTAGGAAATCATTTAATTGCTCATGTATAAGGCGTTCAAGTACCTTGGATAGAAAAGGCAGAATCGAGATGGGTCGAAAATCAGAAAAAGTGCTAGGATTAGCCTTTTTTGGGATAGGGATGATAAGTCCATCCTTCCAGCATGAAGGAAATTCACCTGATGAAATCGAAAAATTAAAAATATGTGTGATCACAGGAAGTACAAGAGAGACAATAGGTATGATCATAGCACGACCAATCAGGTCAGAACCAACAGCATTGGAATGAATAGAGGAAATACTCGATTCAACCTTCTGGCTAGAGAATTCAGTGAAAGAGAAAGATGGAAAACTAGGACGAGGGAGAGATGATATATACTCAAGTGTTAAGGCCAGATCGATATTACTTGAAGTAGAATGAGAGGTAAAATGGGCGTTAAGACTGTTTACTTCGATATCGGGAGGCATGGAAGGACATGGTGGCTTACCGACACCCAGAGATTTCAAAAATTTCCATATTTTCGAGGGATCCCCATTTGACACTGAGTCGTGAATGTGTCGTCTCTGTGCATCCCGACAACGCGTGTTGCAACGGTTTCGCAAGGTTTTGTAAAGTACACGTTCCTTGTCCGTTTTGGCTGTTCTCAATTTGGCTTTAGCGCGGTTTTTTTGATTAATCAAAGTTTTAATTTCATCGTTGAGCCAAGGAGCAGGTAAATGTTTCAGTTTAACGGGCCTCAAGGGGGCATGTATATCAAAAAGATTGGTAATGGAGGCATTTAGTAAATCAACTTTACCATTGATAGTGGGACACTCGTAAATCGAGCTAAAGTCGATTTTGGCCGCGTCTATAAGCAGACGCTTGGTGTCAATCGCAGCGAAATTGCGTCTAAGGACTACGGTGGGTTTTAGTTTAGGAGGTTTAAGATTGAGAGACAAATAAAGGAGGTCGTGATGAGAAAAAGCGACGGCTGGAAGTTGGCCATGGTTAGTAACTAGGTCAGGAGAAGAGGTAAATATAAGATCCAATAGGGAAGGAGTGGAGCCTGGGACTTTATGCGTGGCGCGAAGTGGCAGGTTATGAAGATTATAAGAGTCGGTGATGGAGAGCAACTTTTTCGATCGGCAGTCGTCTTTTAGTAAGCAGGTATTGAAATCACCCATAATTACTATGTTTTTATAGAGAGGCACAAACCTTTCAAGAGTATTATCAAAACCTGCAAAGTAGTCGACTAAAAGAGAAGGAGAGTAGAACACTCCAAGGAGAATTTTAGTTTTACTGAGCATGACCTCGATCAGAAGATGCTCGCATGCATTAGGTGGTGGTGGTTGAGGAGACATATTGATAATAGTGTAATGGATGTGCGATCGTAGGTAAATAGCGACGCCACCTCCACGCATTCCAACTCGATCATTTCTTATTAGATTAAAACCGGGGATAGAATAGCTAAGAGAGGAGAGGGTTGGACACAGCCAAGTCTCTGATATCAGGATAGCGTGAATTTCATTGGACACAAATGTTGTCAACAAGTCTAAATGGTGAGCAGGAACGCTTTGAGCATTAATATGGATGACATTTAAGTGTCTCGATTGGTCTTTGAATAAAGCTGTGAGGATATTATGCAAGGGAGGGGGAGATATTTCAGTGCTATGGAATGATTCGAAATCCGATGAAGAGACCGATACAAATTCAAGAGATTCATCGTGATTCATGTGTTAACAGTTAATAATATTTATCTATATGTGTACAAAGTCTATAAATTTTTATCTTTTGTTTAAAAACGATCCCATATTCTCACTCAATCGCTAGTAAAATGAACATATAATATAACACACTATACGAAAATAAAAGAAAATAACAAACTTAACTTAACTTAAAGGGGTTAAATAAACTAATTTTAACTATTTCTATAACTACTCAATAAGCGAATTAATATATCTTTTATAGTGGAAAGTTATTGTAAAAGCTTATTATACGAGAACAATTTTATTATCTGTGGAAATACACACAATCGATTCTTAATTGACATTTGACAACAACAACCTTTGACAGCGTCACATCACGATTGATAGTTAGTAGTTATAATCTGTCAATGGGCTTTAATAACAAATAACAATTAGAAATTAATATCATCATAATAACAATTAGTAAACAAAGGTGAAGGTTATAAGATACCAAATAAGTAATTTAAAAAAAAAGAACTGTTTAACACTTGAAACTCATGACAACAAACCAAGAAAAAGTTGATTATAACCCCAACACACGGAACACCAACACTGTACAAACGGAAGTTATTGACCCTTTTTTGGAGCCTTCTTATTACGGGTCTTGTCTCTTGTCAGCTTTGCATCATCAGCTGCGGACGATGACGGTATGCTGTCCGGAACTGAATCGAGTTCCTTCAGCGAAGAGACACGGCGAAGTTTCCCATCAGCCCCTATCACTTGTACACGTCCATCGCGAGTCCAACATTTCGAGACGCCAAACCGCTTTCTTGCCTCCATAAATAGCGAGTGCCTTGATTTTGTCAGGAACTCAGACAAGGTTATTCCAGTGCCTTTAAGATTAGTTTTGGCACCCCAGATCCTTAACTTGTCAGCATGCTCACGAAACTTTATTAATATAGGCCTAGGCTTGTCATTGGATCTTAATCCCACTCGATGGCAACGGGAGAGGCACTGCTCCGTCACATTAGGACACTTTAAGAGTATGGATATCATATTTGCAATGGAGCCCGGGCTTTCATCCTTTGCTTCATTTACTCCATGCATCAACAGACACTTTCGCCTACTGCGCATCTCCTGTTCATCCTGCACTCTAAATAGAATCGCCATCTGAGCTTGGAGATTCTCTAGGCAGAATAAAACAGAATTTTTGAATACTTCAAATTCCCTAGCAAGTGGAGTTTGTTCCAGTGAGGGGGACCTATTCTGAGTTGCAATAAGGCGCTGCTGAAACTCTTCCATTCTGGTAGACACCATTTCGGATACATCCCTTAATGACTTTTTAAGATCCTCCATAATAAGGTGAAAGTGAAAAATTAATACAGTATTAATAGTTAAATTGAAGGTACTTGAAGAAGTGATTTTCGAACTTTAAGTTTATTATAGTTAAATAAAGGATATTATTGAGAAAAAAATAGCGATTGATGTGTAGTGGGACACTAATTCATCACTGTAACTGTAAGTTATAATGTTTAAACTGAAATACTATTTAATTTAAGAAAAAATCACGAGACACACCAATACACGCTTGCACTACCCACAACTCAATTTTTAATAAAACGGACTCAGAAATACAATTATTATGGACTTTGTACCTAAAAAAGTTACTTTCTTATACTTTTAAAGATTATTTCAAACATTGTTTTAATGTTGTTGAATTGAGTCTACAGCCATTTAGCAGTGTACACTGAATTCACTATGGAATTGACAGAATTGCATCTATTATTTTACCTGTACAGCAAGCACAAGTTCATAAAGTATTTTATGGTGTGCAGAGAATTTCCCTGAGACTGGCCATGTTCGAGATATGTCAGAGTTGTATAGCCAACGCTGACAGCCTGAAAATTAAATTGAAAAATGAGTTTCTAGTTTACATGATTTTTTAATGGTCATATAAAAAGATTATTCATCTATTCATTTCCAAGTTTGAATAATTTAAGCATTCATTGTCACTTAATACATTCTTTATTTCTATATATTTTTTCCTTATATTCTCTGTGCACTTACCAGCATCGATAAGAAGCATATCCTCCCTTTTTAGTAGTTGGTTGTTAGCTACATAGTGTATGTGAGTAGCCCTAGGCCCCCCCGCTACCACTGGTGGAAATGCCCCATGTTCTGCACCTGACATTCGACATGTATATTCAAACACAGATGAAACAGCATGCTCCGATATACCTGAAAAAGGTTTATATTACAACTAAGCATAGGCAAAACTAAAACAGTAGCATTCTGTTAAGTAATATTGTAATATTTTTATTTAACAGAAATTAATGTACGTACGTATGTATACACATTATCATATAGATGATTGTTTATGATCATCACCCCTTTATTCATGATCCATCAAATTAAATAAAGTCTTCATTTGTATCTTTTTATCACAGCTTGACTTAAGCACAATATGACAGAAATAGACTAAAGAGTAATTTAATTTAAAGACTGCAATTAGACCGTTTTAGTTTTTAGTAGGGGGTAAATTTTAGACATAGTAGCAAGGTATAAAAATCCACAAGCTTTTTTTCCAAACATGCTGATTTTATTTCCAAATAATATGTTTTTGTAATGTAGAAACTGATTAAACCAGGAACTATTTATTCTGGTAACTTTCAAAAGATAAAAAACTATAAATCAATTGTTTAATATTAGTTATATATAGTTAAATATAAATGTGCAACCTAGAATAATCAAAGAAACTGTCAAAACATACTAATAAACCCACTTTGTAAGCAAAAAATACTACATCATTCTTGTAGTCCTATTTAATTTCTATAAAACCTGAGGAAAATAATTATATATTATGCCAAAACTAAATGATACAACACACATACATACATACAAACTATAATAGTTAAACAACTCACCCACCAGGTTTCGTGCAAGCCATAGCCATATTAACCGATTGGGAACCAATGTAACATGTTTCCTTCATCAAATCGACTTCCGCTGGTGACTTCACAACCCTCATTTGATGAAGGAATTTCTGAGGGTCTTCCAGTGAGGCATGGCCTTGCTTTAGAGAGGATCTGACTACATCATGAATGTCAGGATTAGCTGGGCTCTCATTGTGGTACCAGAGAACTGCAGGTTTTAATGATGATATAGTTCTGAAACAGGAATTTAAAAATGTACAGTAATAACATAATATAAATATACAGATATGAAAGTAATAATTCATACATTTCAAGATTTAAACAAAAGCGTTCAAGTATTACGTAACGAATTTTTGAGGGGGTCCTTTTGTAAAACGTTACGATGCGGGGCGGGGATTGAATTACGCGTTTTTTTTATTATTATTTTCGACTTTCCAGTACTTCTACTATACTTGGGTACTGTACTGCACTTGGGTACAGAAAAACGTTACAGCGCGTTGCATGGGGTGGGGGGGTGTCAATAATCTCCACAATGTCATGACGTAATACTTGAATGCTCCCTAATTTAACAGATTTAGGATAATCTTAGTTCACTTTTAACAAACTCCTTAAAAGCAAATGTTAAGAAATAAAATTAATAACCAAACTATTTTTAACCTGTGTATAAAATTATTGAAGTTTTCAACAGGCTGCGCTTCATCAACAGAATATAATGTTGTTGCTGCAGAGCATCCTGTGCGAGGACCTTCCCAAAGTTCAGCATGGCTGTCTTTATCATGTACAAATAAAATTGTCTAGAGAAAGCAATAAAATAAAATTTATTAATTTTTTCATAACATAAATATGTACATATGTATGTCTAACTGAAACCAGTCTGATATAGGCAAATAAAGAAATTCAAACCTTATAAGTATCCCTATCTGCTGGTTTTATCATGAAGAGAATTGCAGAGGGCTCTAAACATCCAGTAAGGTAGAAAAAATCTGAATTTTGTCTAAACACATATGGTATCTTATCTGACATATACTGTTTCCTAGCTGCTGGTATAACTATCTGAAAATAATAAAGTCTTTAGCATTACATTACATAGCAATCATTTCATATCAATTAGCATTATTAATTTTGTTATATGCGAGTAGTTTATATAGAGTAACAATAATAATATCCTCTATTATTTAAGCTAAAGCATCCTGTTGACCCAGAAACCATATATTAACCACTCCCTATTAGGTAGATAAATTATAAAGTTGTTTCTTGTTGTAAGTACTATTCACTTTTACAAAAACTCAATTTAAAAAGTTTTAATCCCTAAATAAGTACTACAAAAATTACTATTTAACAATATGATATAATCTTAACAGTTTTGTAAAGTAAAAAAAGATACACACAACATGAGTTTTATGTAGATTTTCTGCTTCAGCCAACTTGCTGACTAAAGTTTCCCGCCTTTCCTTGTATTCTAACTGTGTGACCCCACACGTTAGGTTGCCATGTGATATTAAATGAGGGTGTGTATGACAAGTTGGTTGTCCCAATATACCCTTGGGTATACTGAACTGCTGTATTCTATCTACATCTGGTGGATTTCTTAAGCTTGATAAGCGTCGAATAGGCTTCCACCTTGATATATTTTTTAACGAGACTGAAAGAGAAATAATATAATAAGTAGAAACATTACACTTCAAACAAACAGAATATACATATAATCCATATTATCTAACGTACACTGATCTATTACTGATCGCAACCTAAATAGGTTTGAACGATTCATTCTCAATATATTATACTTTTATTAAGTTAATTATATTTTTGTATATAGATGGTGATTATATTATGAATTTATCCCTGATGGGAAAGGCAAAGGACTTTTTTTGTATGTATAAAGTTTTTTTTTTTTTTTAATGACTCTGGCACGATTTGTGTATTAGCCAGCGTCAAGTATAGGATTTTTATTATAATTTGTGCTTGTCTTTAGAAATTCTAGCGTGTCTTCCATGTACGGTTTAAGCACTCGCCCGGTACCGCACAACCCTCTCAAAGGCCGAGAACAAATTTAAATTAAATTAAAACTTGCCCTCGAACCGGGAATCGAACCCGGTACCCCTCACCTAGCTGCTACTTAATAAGACCGCTAGGCTATGAGGCCCCTATGTATAATATAGTTTTGCAAGCATTGTTGTTTTTTTTTTTTCAGTCAGTCTTTGTCAGGGATATAGGAAAAATCTCTAGAACTTTCCAACTGCTTCTTTCCATGGCTTAGCTAAAACGTAAAAGATTGAAATAAAGATGACCATACTAGTGCACCTTTGGAATATCTGGTGTATTCGAGCATAAAATTGATTTGCATCTATTACACGTCTCGTGCAATCTGTGTACTTGAAATTTTGGTCTAACCTTTGGTGGGAACCTTAAGTTGGCGGGGGGAAATTAATTTTTTGCACTTTTTTTTGGCTCTATCAACTGTTCTTCATTGTTCTATCAAAAAATTTTTTTGTTCGTTCTTATTTTATTTTTTTTTAATTATAAAAAAATTGACCCTCAATTTGGCACGAACTATAGATATTTTGATATTTTTTTGTTTTTTCTAATAGTTTAGAACTATTCAATAACTGTTCGTTCAAAATAAACAACTGTTCGGCTTTCATTATCCTGTAATTTAATAATAATTAACTTTTTTTTATAAATCTTAATTAAATGTTATTGCGCATGCGCAGTATTAATGCGCATAGTTCTCATAAATTATGCGCGGCCTATTTGAATTCGATTCAAAGAGACAACACAACAATAACAGCAACAACAACAAAATCATCATCATCACCCGGTTTTTACTTTCATTTATATTTTGTTATTTTATACAAACAAAATGAACTCTTTCTTAACATCTAAAGTCGTATTTCTTGTACTTATCCATTCTTTTAACATTCCTGATTAAATATATTGATTGAGAAAAATAGAAAAGGATTAGTCCCATGCAAACTATAGGTCTACCAGAATCTGATGGCAAAAAAAAGTTTAAAACTTAGCGATTTGCATGTGGCAACAAAAAAAAATTTCATCTGTCATCTGAAATTTCGAGGAATTGTTTTTGGTTTGGCTTCAAATTTACTTCAAAAAGTGGTGAAAATGTCGAAAAAACCTCTTCGATCGCAAGCAAGAAATATTGTTTTCAATGTTTATCAAAGAATACTTGATCAACAAGGTGCAGAACATACACAATCATCGATATTGAGCCCATGTCACTTGCACATTGAGTGGTTAGTAGGAATGACACGTCTTGATACTTTGGTTTATTGGATTTTCGTGTGTATTATATTATGTACTTATATAAACTTTGGTTTATTTCAGGGGTTTCTAATACTACCTTAAGATGAATTGTTGCCGAAGGCTGATCTAATAAGGGCGTATTTAGTACGCCCGGTAAAAACAGGAAAGGTGGCAAAAAAATTAAACTTGGATAGATTTGATTTCGAATTGAAAAAAAAACTAAATATCAGATAGATGAGATTTTTAAATCACACGGCCACGAAGTTTTGAGGCTCCCACCATAACATTGTACGTTAAACCCCATAGAATTAATCTGGGGACTAATGAAACAAAAACTTGCGGGTAAAAACGTCAATAGACCTGCAAGTGATATAAAACTATTAACAGAGAAATGATTTAAGAAGCTTACTCTCAAGTAGGGATCGATGAATGGCGAAAATCTTGTGAACATGTAATAAAAATTGAAAATCAGTTCATAGAACAAGATCAGTTAATTGAGATGCAGGAGGATAGGTTTATATTAAATACTGCGTCTTCTCCTTCATATAAAAACTTATTTATGGATGTGCAGAATTTGGAACCATTTCTAGTTCAGTTCTAATAGCCTATAATTAATGAATAAACTCATGAACGGAGTAATTGGAGTTTTCATCTAAATTTCAAACCCCACATTCGCCATGGTAAAATTTTCAAATATTATCCTTGATCATTGGATAAATTTTTATATTTGCATGTATCACACACAATCAGCCGATATAAGGGAAATAAAGTATCAAAACGTTTTACTCCAATTTCCCCGGTATTGCTAGCGTCAATTTCTTTTTTCCCTTTTTGCCATCAGATCCTGGTAGACCTATATTTATTTATATATTGATACAATATATTCTAGAACCAATTTCTTTTTCATTCTCAGTCAATATTTTTAATTATTAATTATTATTATGACAGCAAGTCAATTTAACAGACCTAGCGAACAGGCTCGCTAGGTCTGTCAAGCTGTTGGAGGCAGATAATGTGGCTGGCTTTTTTACATTAAGTATTTAAATTTGAGAAAATATACCTTAATTGATATTTTGTGTTTTAATTATTATCTAGCTATCAAACGATTTCTAAGAATTTTGTTCAAGGTTTCTAATTAGTAACTTATCCTCCTGGTACTAATAGATGATGATGATGATGATGATGATTTTGTTGTTGTTGCTGTTATTGTTGTGTTGTCTCTTTGAATCGAATTCAAATAGGCCGCGCATAATTTATGAGAACTATGCGCATTGATACTGCGCATGCGCAATAACATTTAATTAAGATTTATAAAAAAAAGTTAATTATTATTAAATTACAGGATAATGAAAGCCGAACAGTTGTTTATTTTGAACGAACAGTTATTGAATAGTTCTTAACTATTAGAAAAAACAAAAAAATATCAAAATATCTATAGTTCGTGCCAAATTGAGGGTAAATTTTTTTATAATTAAAAAAAAAAAATAAGAACGAACAAAAAAAATTTTTGCTAGAACAATGAAGAACAGTTAACGAACAGTTGATAGAGCCAAAAAAAAGTGCAAAAAAATTAATTTCCCCCCGCCAACTTAAGGTTCCCACCTTTGGTTTCCATTTTTCATACAACCCTAAACTCATTGGCCTGCGGAAATGATGATAGACCGTGGAATAGTAATGTGGGGTGGATACTGATCAGTAACTTATTTTTTTTAATTTTCGAAATAAATTGATTTTTTGGTAAATATTCCGTATCTCGGCACCAGCAATTTTGAGGCAGATTTTTTTTTATGACTTCGTCATGAGTTCTCAGCACCATAACTAGTGTTGTTATGATGGCGCATGACCTTTTTTGGCAAAAAAAAAATTCAAAAAGTACCCAAAACCGAATCAGAGCACCCCACTATCCACGTGGTCTTGTCTGGCTTACCCCCAGAGTGTATATACAAAATCGGAGGCGCGGAGGAAGAGCAGCCCCCACCCGCTGGTTTGCAAGGGCGGAGGAGCTGTCCAAAAAACCTATTATTAATATTGTTCGGTTAGGTTAAGTTAGTATATTAATATTTTTTTTTCATGCAAACATCATCAAACATCATAACTAGTATGATGGCTACAGATTATAACGCGACTGTAAAAAAAATTCAATCTCAAAATCGCTGGTGCCGTGATACGGAATATTTACCGATTTTTTTTTCAAATGTTATAAATACATTTGAAAAAAAAATGGTATGCGCACTTTTCTAGAAAACGCCCGATTTGACAAACTTGTAAGAATCGGAGGAGCATGAAAGTGGGGGCAATCGACAGTAGATATGTGGGACGATTATTTTACATTTGCGGTAGTATAATTTGCCAGGGTGTATGTCAGGAAGAAAAAAAATTAAAGAAAATCTATAGAAAAATTGTTGTTCTTCCAGTTCTTCCAAAACTTATAAAAATAATGCACTCACCATTATTTTTATAAGTTTTCAGTTTTTTTTTAAATCAAGGGCTATATGCTACCTAGCGAACCATGAGCTTCAGTATAATAAGTTAACCAAGAGCGGAAAGCGTTGGATTGAGAATTTGAAACATTTTCACAAGGTCTTTTCTGGGAATATCCCTAGATAAGAAGAATATATATTAATTAATTTTCCTAATTTTCAGGAAATATGGTTCTAAGCTTAAATAATAAAAAAGGTAATTAGAGCAACACTATATTTTTTATTATTATTATACTTTTTAATCCCTACCTATTTGTACTTTTATACATACTACGTAAATAATACTACAGCGTACAGCTGATGCATATATGCACCTTGATAACGACAACGTCACTACACAAAAAAGGTACTTTTGAGTAATAAGCGATCAAAATTCCAAAATATTCGAAGAATGCAATTTTGGCTTAAATGAAGATTTTTAAGTCCGGTTTTCAGCAGTATTCATAGGAAACAAAGTCAGTTTTAAGATCGGCATACTAATTTGATTTCAACCCCTTTAGAACACGGTATTTTTTGAAAATTTCGTTTAGTGTCACTATCATTCGTATTTTATTTATTTTGTGATATGGCTCCAAATTAGGAATAACGTCACTAAACCTTCAGATTATGAAATAACGTCACTAAAATTAGATAGTAGGTAAAATTAGAAATGGTTTTAAATAAAAGAATAATTTATGTATTACAAAACTCTTTATTCTTTAATAAAAAATAGGAACATTGGCACTTTTATTAAGTTCTTTAAGACACTTCTCTCATTGTTTATAAAGATAGGTTAACTTGAATTCAAAAATCAAAACAGGTAACAAGGCTAATGCCGTTTAAATCTACATAAGTAGGTAACTTAACGTTTCCCGTCTAGTATAATAATTATACTTAAATCTATACGTTTAATCACAGAAAAATGTCACATACATAAACCTTCTTAATTTTAACATCAAACTAAAAAAAAGTAATAATCGGCAATTCATGCCAGTAAAACTTCTACAAAACTTGTTTGGTAACGTAAAACGTAAACAGTATAAAAAAATATATTAAAAAGGGATCAAAATTAACATTATAATAATCAGTCTCAAAATATATCAGATATGGCGAGGACTTACATAAGTTACATAATAATACTATTATAAAAAGAAGAAGCATAGTAAGGTGGTATAGCACGTTGTCTAATAAGAGATTTCAAGTCTTCTTTCTTTCTTTCTGCTAAAAGGTATTCTTGCGGTATACAATCGTTTTAATGTTGGTCTGGCTCGTCTTTGGCTTTGTAATTTGAATTCTTTAAATTCTTCTTGTACGTATGATGTCTTATAGCTAACTTTCGTACCTGTAGATTCTTCAGTCTTTTCTATTTTTATAATTTTTATATCATTTGTTTTGATCGTTTCACCTTCTGTGTTTTTAAATATCTTATATTCCTGGAGACTTTTAATGTCGTAAAATTCAGTGTGGCTCATTTCCTTCACTACGTATTTCTTTCCTTTTTTTTTTGCTTCTCTAATGGCGGTTATATATTGGTCAGGAACGTAAATTGGCCCAGATTTGAGAGTCTTTTTAATCTGTTTCTCTATGGTCGAATGAACGGAGTCACCTTCATTCTGAGTATGACCTTTTATCAAAAACTTATGAGTTATTGACTGTATATTAGGTAGATTCTTCACAGCATAGATATACATAGAAAATATAAACTGGTTTTTCTGCTGGCCGCAGCAATTGTCACTGTAGAAAATTATATGTAACTTCTCAGATGACGAAACTGACTTTTCACGAAGATATCTAAAAACACAAGAACCTATCTCATTGGCTCCTTTCTGGCCCTCAACTTCATTCCAAAAATAACATTCTGTCAAATCGGTCTTTAATTCACTGATAGTAAAATTTAAACAGTTCAGTCTGGATTTATAATAAAATCCGGAAACGTCACCTTTAGGTACTTGTAACATTGCTTGAAGATCGTAACATGCTACTATATGATTCTCGTCTACTGCTTTTTTATCGTTAGTTTTTTCTTCCCTACTCTTTTCTTTTTCTATCAAATGTTTATTGTAATTCTCTTGAAGCTTTTCTTTTTCAACTGGTTCTGCATTTTTATACGCAACACAATCGCCACACTGATCTTTTTTAGGAATAAAAAAACTTATGTTAAAATCTTGATTAAACACCTTCCGATATATATGTATTTTAACGAAATCTTCACCCTTGTCTTTACAATCTTTCTTGTAGTCATTGTACAAATCTGTAATATTTTTACCACCATCAATGTATTCTCGTGTGGTTTGTTTCCTCAAATAATGGCTCTCAATTCTAGGAATACTATCGATGTGTCGTCGGACGCCAGACAGAAGATCCTCTCTAACTTGATTATGTTTTTCATGTTTACCACGCAGATCCGGTTCAATTATCCCAGAAGAATTCAGTTTTTCGATTACAGTACGTATCGGTCTGTCATTGATCCCCAAAGTCCTTTTAAAGTAAATCTTGCAAACTTTTTGTTTTATGTTGTCAATAGTTAGATAAAATGCATGTTTAGGTTTCCGGTTGCTGTCTATTTTTTTATATTGATATTTGGGTTTTACTTCAGTCATGTGTTTGGCAATAAATTCTCTTTGTAGAGACACAGATCCTAAATTCCAATACCTGTCAAAAACAACTTTTCGCTGATGCTCTGTTAATTTCTCTGAACATTTTAATCGACAACGATCATTGCACGTAGGTCCCATTTCCCTCGCAGGTTTCAAGGTATTTGATCTTAAACATTTGTACTCTACACCCCTATTGCGTAGTTTCTTAGCTAAAGCTGCTTTGTTTACACCTGTCTTTCGTTTACGCGACTTTTTTGACGGTGAAGAAGTACTTGGACATTCAGTTGGAAGCTCACAAGGCATGCCAACGTCTCTTGACGAGTCTACGCCATTATTTATTATTCTCATCGCAAGTGTTTTCAGTGGCATTGGATTATTTATGTTATTGACCACTTGTGATTCTACTACCAACGATTCGTCTTGGTTTTCAGTGGTTTTGTCGTATGGTGGCAACGATAATCCAAACCTGTGAATAACTTGAGTGGCTATAGTTTTTAAAGAGAGTGGGGTTTTTCCGTTATGATTGTGTGTTGAGTTGGAGTTAATAGGAGGGTTGTAATTTTTAACATTGTCTACAGTGAATTGATTATCTGAGTTATTGCTGAGGAGCTCATTAGTGATGTCTGTATAATCGCGTTCTGATTCAGGTATACTGCAATCTTGGTCATCTGACGAAGACATGTAAATGTCTTTCAGTAGCTGTAAAGTAGATAATGATTGTATTTCAGGTAATGTAATTGTAGGTTCTTGCTTTTTTTCAGGTGTAACTATTTGTTTTTGTTTTCTTGGTGGAGGACCACCCTCTGTTTTTCACGTGAGATGGATTCTGTGTCAGAAGAAGAACTACTGGAGTCAGAGTCGGAGCTGGCGGAATCAGAATTGGTGCTGGTGGAATCAGAAGTAGAGGTACTAGAACTCGATCCAGAAGACGAACGTGAAGAATTTTTTTTTAGCGTAGTTTTGTATTGAGCTTTGCAACTTTGCTTAACGGGTTTCTTTGTAGTACTTTGCAGTGAATCATATTGTGACGATGAACTATCGGCGGCAGAAGGTTTGTATTCTTTATCGTCATCAGAAGCAAGAGAAAAATCTTCGCCAGAACAAGAGGAACACGATGATTTTCTGTTTCGAAAACTCTGCGTTTGCTGCACATTTTTAGGTCTCTCAGTTAAATGTGACTGATTTTTTTTGTCTCAAACGCAACGTTCGGCGAATAATACTTTAATGCAGGTTTGTATACTTTCCTATTATTATCTTTCTCAGCAACACGTAAGTTTTCTTTTGCGATGGATTTTCAGAGCTTTGTAAATTATGTGGAAAATTTGGCTGATGATCATCTTCTGAAGCGAATGAGTTATCTTCGGAATCGAACTTATTCAAATCTTTGATTATATTTTTTAACTTCAAAGACCGCGGGTTCGGAGGTGGCATTGTAACTGTAAATAATAAGATATGTTTTTGTCAAGCTTGCAAAATGCTGTCACAAAACAAATTAAAACGTTTACCAATTAACTTAGGGGCCGTCTCCACAAGCGAGAGAATCGCGACGATACAATCGTTCTGCCACGCATTTCTATACAATCTCATAGAAAGTGTCTCCACACGGCGATCTTTACGCGGCGATGCGACGGGTGGTTGAGTGCGCGCGATACGTTATTACATCGCTGCGAGCCTGTCGCTACTGGTGGCGCGCACGTCGCGCACTCGCCGCAGAACGTGGCGCTCTCGCAGAGAGCGCGCGACGTGCGCGCTGTTAAACACAGGCGTCCTGTTTACTTCATTAATGCGTTGCATCTCGCCAAAAAAGGACTTTGCGTATTGACAAACTTTTTAAACAATAAGTACAATGTTTGATATTGAAAAGTTTATACTTGAAGTGAGAGGGAAACCTGCCCTTTACGATGTTCAGTTGCAAGAGTATCGGAACAGAGAATTTAAAAGCAAAGTTATGGTTTGATGTGGGAAGTGCTATGTTCACGGAATGGGATGAACTAACCTCTAAAGAAAAAAAGAAAAAGGTAAGCGTCAATATTACTTATTTATTTAGGTAATTTTAGTTAGGTTATATTATATGTTATTTCGACTATGTGTTTGCGTGTTGTTCCCACGAGAATGTAAGTGCGTGCTCCTATTTCACCATGCCTCCTGCTGATAGAGGACAAATCTTTGTTTTTAATTTATATTATTATTATTAATTACTTAACATGTCACATGGGACATGGTGTAATGGTTGCAGCTCCTTACAAACATTTTGTAAAACAAAAATTGGCGATTAAAAAGAGTGGCGGAGAGTTTATTGCCTGTTCTTCTCTTCCGTTCTACGCCCAGTATTAATTACTAACATGAAAAAAATAAAATAAAGTCTTCTTTCAGCAAAATATCTACAATATTTAAGGTACTTTCCATTCATGTGGCATAGTCTTGGGACACATACAGGCGTATATGAGTTATATAATATTATTCAAACGATGTAGTTATTTTGCCAAGGCACCGCGCCCACTGTGTTAAAATAATCTGTAAATAAGTTTCGAATATGCAACCCCGAATTCCTTGTCCTTTGAAGTATGGGTGTCATATTTTGAAGATTGGATATGTCTTCATTGTCGCTATCAGTTGCGTTATGTCCATTATTTTTATTCTCATCAATGGCATTTAATGCTCGACGCTTCATAAAGTTGTGCAAAACACAAGCTGCTTTTATTACAAGAATTGCAGTGTCCGGTTGAAGATTTATTGTGTTATGAAATATGCGAAATTTTGCTGCGAGTTGTCCAAAGACACATTCGACGTAACGTCTCGCACGAGACAGCCTGTAGTTAAAAATTTTTTTGTCTATAGGAAGACATCGACCTGGATACGGTCGCATTAAATTTCGATGAATACCGAAGGCTTCATCGGCTACAATCACATATGGCATTTTGGGTCCGTCAGATACGATATGTTCTTCTTCCGGCAAATCAAGAGTTTCTTCATTTAGCTTTTGACCTAGAATTGAAGATTGAAAAATAGTAGAATCATTTTCACGGCCATAAGACCCTACATCAATCACAGTAAAACAATAATTAGAATCCACCAAAGCCAATAAAACGATTGAGTTGTACTTTTTATAATTAAAGTATAGAGAGCCGGAATTTGGGGGACACTGAATTCGAATGTGTTTGCCATCTAGAGCTCCCAAGCAATGTGGAAAATTTGCATTGTCTTTAAATCCCTCTGAGATTATTTTCCATGATTCTTTGTTTGGAACCGCCATTTCTGTAGGGGCTAACACTTTCCATATAATTCCACATGTTTCTTTTATTACTTTAGCTAACGTTTTTTTTGAAATTTTGTACGTATTCTGAAGGCGTTTATAACTTGTTCCAGTGGCAAGATATCTGAAAAAAAATACATTATTGTTAAAATAAAAAAAAATTACAACATTCAATTCTTTGTTTTCAGGACTTGAGTTAATGACAAAATGGAAATCATTAAGGGATCAATTTCGTAAAGAGCTCAAATTTCAGCAATGTTCAAAATCCGGTCAAGCTGCCTCAAAACGACGAAAGTATATCCATTATGATGCATTACTTTTTTTAAAGAAACACACAGAACACGCTTCAACATCGTCAAACTTACTCAATGAGGAAAGTCAAGAAGATTTTGAGGATGACGACAGTTCGGTTAACACCAGTGTTACTGAACCATCCACGTCTAATAAAAAGAAATCATTAGTCCAAATGTTTCTGGAATCTAATAAAGAGATATCGAATGTTATGCGCGAGAGTATATATATACAAAGAAATAATGTTCAACAAAAATATAGTGACGAGCGTGGAAATCAAGCATTTTTTAGTTCGCTGCTACCACTAATGGACAAAATAAATGAAAATTATTTAATTGATGCCAGAACTGAGATTATGTCTGTAATTAAGAAATACATCCCACCATCACCTACATTGGCAGAAGAATATTCTCGTACATCAACACCAACAAGCGAAGATGATATTGCACAAATTTTAGAACACTTTTAGAAGCGTTTAACTAAAATAAAACTGTTTTAAACTTACTGTAGTGTTACTGCTAATCTTTCACATGGCCCGATACATTTCCTCATATGAGTATCTTGCTTTGATAAGTTTCTTGACAGCATACTTAACAGTTCATCGAAAACAGGAATTGGCATTAAATATTCATCTTCAAACCAATCTGGATGTTTTCGATATTCTTCATAATTCACATGGAAATGTCCATGGCTTTCACGGCGTAGTAACATAGGATGTGTCCACCAACGGCGCTTTTTTTCCTTTCTTAATAATAAAATTTGCATATTAACTAGCGTACTTGCACAAGCACCCCACAACAATACATCCATAGTAAATAATTATTTTATTGACTGATTTAGACACTACTTCTTTCGGTCTCGTCTGGCACCACTGAACTCTAAATGAACACTGAACAAAAATAAGAGCACAACGCGTCGTCAAAGAAACGCGGCGATTCCGTTACGAGTCGTTGCGGATACGCTGTGATTCCGTTACGTATCGCGACGATACGCTGGCGGAATAATCGCTCGTTCGTGGAGATTACCCGACGATAAAAACGCGGACTCGTCGCGATTCTCTCGCTTGTGGAGACGGCCCCTTAGAGAGAAATAACCATGAAAATACAAAAAAATAAAGGCTTATTTTCTGAAGTGTCGTAATGTTTATCTTACATTCGATTTTTTTGAAGAGAATTTAAATGACATCGGCTTTATCACTAATATGTCTCTAACAGTTTAAATAATAATAGTGATTTCTTACAAGGAATGACAGTGAAGAGTCACTAAAGAAACTGTGTCAATATCACTTTTCAAAGCAAATTAAACATAGTGAATTCAATTAACTATCAATGACACTTTTAACATAATGTCGTTGTAAGTTGACGAAAAAAATACGAGATATTAAAGTAATAGTGTCATTAAACGAAAAGTGACATTAATACTCTGAATGAATCGTTACAGATTTGTTAGAACTTAATGTAATAATGTCACTTTCACGATAAAGACGATATAGCTTTAATTAAAACATATAACTTACCGGTTAGATTTACTGCAAAACGATACTAAACAAAAAATGACGTTATCCTTCACAGACCAAGCACTTATCTCTTTGACGTCCCCGTCACTACTAAAAATGTGCCGATATCACGCCACCAGTGTGACCAGATTTTAATTGACGAATCTACTGCTTGTGGAGGTTAAAAACTACTGAATTCTACCGAAAGGAACGAGAAAATCTATTATATTTTTTTGCTGTTGTTTTACATCGTAAAACATGAATGTTTTCTTGATAAAACGATAGAATAATAAAAATAAGAATTTAATTTGAAAGAAACCAAGTTTTTTTAAATTAAATTCTAAAAAAATGTATAAAATGATACTTAAAGTAAAGATTTTTCGTCTTTATGTTGGGTAACATTGTCATAAAGCAATTTTCAGTCCATTAACTTGAACATACTTCTGTCAGATCTATTGACTGAAGCGGAGTAGTTTTTATATAATTTATCTTCATAAAGCAACTCAAAATGGAACTCATAATGTTTTGTATGTCTGTTTCAATTTTATGAATAAGGGTCTGATCACTTTGAAAAATAACGTAAAATTTTGTAGATTTACATAACCAACTTTAAATAAGGGATCTTGCTCCTATTCATTGCGATATCCTTGTGTATATTTATGTTTCATTTTAAACTCGATGATATAAATCTCAATAAAGGAATTCCCACATCACACTCTATGCTCACGGCACGAATAGTAACGAAAAGAATGAACATTAAATAGTTATAATCCAATCGATGAAAGAGGAATACCTCGCTTTCATTCGATATGCCACAAAAAGTACTAGAATAACTGAAAAGCGTGAATTCTACTAAAATATACCAAATAATTTTTACATACTAAATTCTGTTGACAGTACCTCAAAATCTACCAAAAAAAGTAGAAATCTACTAAATCTGGTCACACTGCACGCCACGTCATACGCTCCGCCCCCTTAAACGACATAACGACACCACGCCATCTAGCGGTTTCTATGAGACCTACGTTCACAGGAGTCTTTGCATTTTAAAGTTCATGCCTAGTAATGAAGGTGGCGCTCACAGTAAAGATTACCTGATTTTCGTATAGTGACGTTGTCGTTATCAAGGTGCGATATGCATATTTACAGTGGATATATCATTGCAAATATTTTTTCTTGTAGTTGTGCGGGATAAATAGATTTTAACATTAAAACAGTTTCCAATGTTTCTATTTAACTGGCTTTGATTATTTTTAAAAGTAATACAGATAGACGGACATTGACGTAGAAACTCTAGTCTATGACATTTTGCTAATACCATAGACAGGTCAACACTCAACACGCATCAAATTGAATTTTCTCCCTCATCCCGAGGCAGAATTTCCTCCCGTCAAGCGTGGCTAATCAAGGTACCAAAAGGTAAAGTTTCTTGTGATTTACTGCGATATATCTCGAAATGTTTGATAAATATTATGTTTGAATATCGTAAATGATATTTGTAGCGTCAAAAAAATCGAATTTTAGATAAGAAATGAAGTTAATTTTACCAAAACATAAAAACGCATTAGATTATGTGCCGTGTTTGCTAGGCGTTGTATTCTTAATTTTGGGTTACGTCAAGATTACTAATTTTATTAATTGTTTTTAGAAAAATGAGCAGCTCTGAGGAGGTATCATGGATAAGTTGGTTCTGCGGCCTCAGAGGAAACGAATATTACTGCGAGGTAATATTTTAGATCAATCACCATACTTGTGTTATATGAGTTAAATACACATATAAAACAACTAATTAATTAACTAATAATTTTATTTTATTTAGGTGGACGAAGACTACATAAGTGATAAGTTCAATTTAACAGGTCTTAATGAACAAGTTCCACATTACAGGCAGGCCTTGGATATGATATTGGACCTAGAACCAGGTATATGAAATTTCATATTTCTATTTAATTTCAACTATTCTTAAACCTTTTTACACCCTACTAATTCTAAATGGATCTAATTTTGTTTATGTCTATATAATTTCATAGGTATAAAATTCACTTTTTACACAATGTTCTTCAAAAGAGAATAGAATAATAATTGAATACAAGTATTCTAAAGAAAAAACTGTTTAACCGGATTGAAGTTATGTATTATTATAAATTTACAACTATTTAACATAATTTTAAATTTATCCGACGTTGTCACCGTGACCACGCACGCTGTAAAGCACGCGAAACGTCGGATAAATTTAAAATTATGTTAAATAGTTGTAAATTTATAATAATACATAACTTCAATCCGGTTAAACAGTTTTTTCTTTAAATGTGTAAAGGTTATGTAAATCAAAGACAATACTCTGTACAAGTATTCTTCCAATATGTTGGTTCATATCAACTATTTGACTAAAGCATTGCTAAACATGCCTTTTCAGATGATGACTTGGAAGAAAATCCAAATCAATCAGATTTGGTGGAACAGGCTGCAGAAATGCTCTATGGCTTGATTCATGCACGTTATCTTTTAACTAACAGGTAAGAAAACTAAGGTTGTATTATACCTGCCAATAGTAAAACAACTTTACTTACATTATGCAACACAAACATTTTCTATCACAAACATTGATTGTTTTTGGCTTCTCCAATAATAATACATTTTTATAATGGTAAATATCTATAGATGGGCTTCAATAATGTATCATTGTGTATGTTTCTAATATTTCTATATATTTTCAGAGGTATAGGCCAAATGTTAGAAAAATTTCAAACTGGAGACTTTGGTAACTGCCCACGTGTTTATTGTGAATGCCAACCAATGTTGCCCATTGGTAAGTATATTCAATTAAACATTGAAATTAGATAAAAAATCTTTTTTAACAAATCATTACTTAATTACTTTCCTATGTAGTCATACAGCATCTAATGATTAAAAACCTTTAATTTGATATCATTTTATAAGATTTATATTTACAAGTGATCTCTCTCAGGACTCTCAGATGTCCCTGGTGAAGCAATGGTTAAGTTGTACTGCCCCCGTTGTATGGATGTATACACTCCTAAATCTTCGCGTCACCACCATACGGACGGTGCGTATTTTGGAACTGGTTTCCCACACATGGTGTTCATGGTACACCCAGAATACCGCCCACGATGTCCCACGTCGGAGTTTGTACCCAGGTTAGTGTATGCATGATTTTGCTTATACAGTTTTGGTAATGGTCTAAGGGTAAGAAGATTCAATAACGAGTAATGTATTGGCTTTTGATATATGGTAGTCATAGTTTACGCTAAGGCTCGGTTCTGAAGCTCTCAAAATTGCTCTGCTGTGTGACATAATATGGTTCTGTGAATTTCTCACTGATTGTTTTGTCTTAGCAGGCAAGGAGATCAGCTGTCTTGAGTCTTCGCCTTTTGAACAAACTATTTTATATTAAAGACTTATGTTATGTATCTAAATAAGGATAATGTGTTCAAATTAATATTTTTAGACTTATAGAGAGGTAGAGAAATAAATTTAGACAAACATTTCTAGGATAAGTTAAGATTTATAGTGCATTTGTAGGCATAAGCTATATAATTATAAACAATGATTTTCAGACTATATGGGTTCAAGATCCACCCGGTAGCTTATGAGATTCAGACACAAGCAGCTGCGGGACACAAATCACTTCGAACTATGGCATACAACAATGGTAAACGCTAGGAGCGACCCAGGCCACGACCCCCGCCTACGCGACACTAGCAGTTGCTATAAATAACGGATGACCATTGGTAACTGTCATTTATCTTGAGCGTTGACCTGAGGAATGTACAGGCTTAATGGTGTAAAGTTGAAATCTGACAAGTTTCGATTATGAGTTGACCTGCCAACTTTGGAAAAGTTAATGTATGGATAAAAAATCAACCTTAGGCAAATAATGGTGACGGCAGTCAAAACCAGTGTCAATAGATATTTGCCATTTGTTCATAAATCTAACAAATCTAAAAAATTACATAATGCTGCATATGTTGTGAAATGTGGCAGAAAGTAGATTTTTTGAAAAATTATTCAAATCATGCTCTATTTCTAAATTAGAGGTGCTTTGTTGTATGTTATAGTTTACTAAATAACCTGTGTCAGTAATAGCCTCATCTACACAGAACATAATCGTTTATGAAACTATTGAATAGAATGTTGTGTTTTTTTTAAATATCTATTCTAATGAATGCAAATTTGATATACCTAAAAAATTATGTCAAATGTCAGATTTTTCAACGCTCAAGATCTGTGTCGTAAATTTTAATAAGTGACGTTATACCTAGTATTTGTTCCTTCAAAAGTATAAAAGCTAATACAAAAAAATATTTATTAAAATGTGCTTGAAAAAAAAAATTGCACAATTACAGTTGGTCTTATCTTTCTTTACCCACCAATATACGTTTAAAGCAAATCAATTGTAAATGTCACTTATTTTGTCTTTGGGTCATCTGTCATGTAACTCGCTGTTAACGAAATCTATGGGCGTAGCCGAAGGGATTTATAGAGATTTCTCCTATAAGTAAGATAAGAAGTAATTTTTTAACGTATGGTGTTTGAATATTTTATGTAATTCTTGATTCGATTTTTCAACTTTGATTTTAAGTTTGAATGATCTGTCAAATAGATTATTAAGACCGCGTTTTCGTATAAAACGAACAAATTTATTAATGAAAAACCGTAACCAAGCTACGCCCAAATTTCTTGACGTACCGGTTTTTCATGGTTCTAAAGATCGATCTTAGAAGGAGCCAAATGTGAAATTAAGAATAGAACGTTTGATTCTTATCTAAAAATGATACTTATCTATTTGCCAGGTGATACGGTGAATTTCCACAGATAATAAACATGATACATAATTATAAAAGCGGGGAACGTGGTCTTTCGTCTGTATAATTAGACAGTATTTCGTTGTACTCATTGTTATAGCTAAGATCATTTTAAACCGTATTTAGGCTCGCATTCTAAACTATTTATAGCTTTGAGGTTTTTCAAATATGTTTTAGAATACGAGTTTAGTTACCCCATTAATAATTATTTCATATGTGCCATACGGGCATATGGCACTTAAAGTATCAGATTTAGATTATCATTTAAATTTAAGCTAGGTCTTTGTTTTTTTTAATTGTTTCTACACTAATATTATTAAAAGATAAATTTGATATTAATCTTTTATTCACAACAGCACCGAATATTTTTTTTTAAGTTCTGTGTAACAGTAAGTATATTGCTATTTCAACTGTCGTAAACACGAATTCTTCAAATAGTAACTAAACTGGAGTTAATTACCTACTTTATGGATACAAAGTTATAGTGATGTTTCCCTCGCAGCTAATTTGTATAAAAAATGCGACAGGCGAATAATTAATGATGTTTTTTTTTTAATATAAAACTACAGTAAAGAACTATTTAAATTTTACCTTTTATCGATGTTTTGGTAATTTTTTTATTTATTGCTTATAGTTTTTATACGTTAGTGACCAATTTATTTAAAGTAATAAGATTTTAATTTAAAAAAAAGTTCCTCTTTGCTTAATCTATAATTTTGAGCTGGCTTGATCTGTCAAATTTTGATGAGTAAAAGTAACCTGTGTCTTAAGCGGGAATAGCGCTGTATCTATTTTATAATAATAGTAGTTAAATTCATCTTAGTTTCCTATTAACTACTTAATATGGCAAATAAAATGTAATGATAAATCGTGTTTTTATTGCATGCAATCCTATCTGCACTGCCAAACACGGCTTTAATATCTCATTATTAAATTCACTTCTCTATTAATTTATCTCGACAAGGACATTATCACGTCCAAAAACTAAATAAATTTGTAAGAAACTTATATGTAATTTATTTTGGGTATAGTCGGTATTCTAGTTGGAAATTTAGAAAGCTGGCTTACGAGTCACTGACTAGATTTCTACTCGACGAGAGTAGATTTAGTCTGACGATTTCCTTATGACATAGCGTCAGGCGGTAATATAATATCTAACGCGTTTACTTAATCCTTTTTTTACAAAATAATTATGTTTAATGTTAATTGAATTATTTTGTTTATACAGAGACGAAGACGGCAATCAACCTTCCAAAATAAAATTAATTTCATTTGAAGAGATTTTTTTTATTTACGGCAGAACAAACGGAAGTTATTTATTGAAGTATTAATTTATTTATAAAGTAAGAATTACTAATGTTTTCAGTGAAATAAAATGTTTTATTATTATTTTTTTTATTTTAAAACAATATTAGCTATATATAATTGTTTCAAGATATTTGAAAATGCTTTTGTATAAGCTGAACAGTGGTGCTGGAGATTAGAGATTGCTATAAAGGTGGGAACTGACCAAAGTTACGCGGTGTAATGTAACACGTTACACAGCGAGCATTCATGCAGTCAGTACGTCGTGTTATGGGGAAATCAGCGAGCAACGAGCCGCTCGTTACTCGCTTTGAGTGCTCCACCCGGCGGTCGGTTTTTCAGCGAATCCTTTGACTGTTACGCGGTTCAGTCAGTACGCGTCGCACGTCGCGATTGATCATGATTATAATTTTCTATAAATTGTGTCTTTTTTAAGTACTTCTGGTCCAATAAAATTCAACAGTTCTTCAGTTTTTTATACTGTCCAGTAATCATTCGGTTTTTTAATATTGCAATCAATAACAAACCACCTCATACGCCTGTGTTTTTTAATAAGTTTGATGTCCAGTAACCTTTTTTTTGTTCTTCTTCTTAATTTGGATGAAACAATGATTAAATAGAATGAAAGATATCAACACGTCCTCGCTGTTGGCCATCTCGTGAACACTGACGGCGAAAGCGGAGCACAGAGTTTTGTCGAGCATGTTACGCCGATTTTAGAACACAGCGTAACATGCTCGATGCGAATGCTACATTACACCTCGTAACTTTGGTCAGTTCCCACCTTTAGACAATTTTAGTGATGAGGAACAGATATTGCGAGACCCAGGGTACAACAATAATAAGAAACGAAATAAAACTCACTTAACGTTTGTACTTGTAATTACTAATAAAATAATTTCTTAACATAATCATAAACAACTAGCAAAAATTCTACTATTTTATAAAAATACATTGTTTTTACATTTGAATGACATACTGGAATGTATTTACAGTCCGTTAGTTATCAATATTCAGATCACTTAAAACTATTCGAATCAAGGCACTTTATTGCAAGAACTTATGAAAGTTGATCTAAAAATATAATTCTTTCATAAATTGCGTAAAACAAAATTGACCAATTGTCAACCTTATTTTGCGCTTAGGGTCGAAGCCAGCACGACCTCAAAATACTCTAATATACTTAAAATCAAGTAAGGCACTTGATGAAAGAAACTAAGATATGCTTAGATTTAGTAAAATTGAATCGTTCAACTGGGCGCGCCTTTTTTTATTTTAATTATATGCATCGAAAAAGATTTATATACACATGTCATGTTACTGTTATAGCCCAATTTTAGAGAAGATACGAAATAGCAAATTTAAGTTTGTCACTCTTAACAATAGACAATATTTCTCAACCATAGATAAACAACCTCTATAATATCACAACAAATAATTGGAAGCCCATATTTTATTATGATTAAAACGAAGTTAAATGAATCTTATGTTGGCTATTTGGGTTACAAAAATTCCACATTAACTTGGTATTTTGGGTTCACCTTGATATATCTTAGACATGTTTTAACGACTTAACCGAAAATTGTACTTATTATCTAGAGGATCAGAATGCTTATTTATAAAAAAAAAACATAAAAAGACAGAGTATCCATACGGATACTCGTACGTACGTATACACGTACGAGTACGTATACGTACGGAGGCTACGCATTAAAGTCTAGAGACGCCTTAACACTACATTAAAAATAAACCGCCCAAAGAGTCACTATATTTTGGGGTTCCCAGATGGGCCACTCTTATATAATTCATCACCAGTCGACGTCCTCAGGCAATCCGCCCGGATAGTCCCCAGTGAGACAGGCAGTGCAATGGCCTCCAACGCCGTCGCTGGGCGTCGCCTTCATATTGTAATGTATGGCGCTGACCAGACCCTCTACGCTTAGATATTCGAGACTGTCCGCGCCTGAAAAGATATTGATTATTTAAATATATATTTTATAAAAGTAAATTTATAAACTATTTCCTAGTAAACAGACCATTAAACAAATGTTTCTCTGTAAAGTCGGTTTAACGTGACATCATAACAGAATATTAATGAAATGACATACTTAAGTCTTCGAGTGGAATAGAGATAGATCAACGCAAGCGTACAAAGAGCGTAACGGGACAATGAGTCTTGCTTTTTCGTGCGTGCAGCCGGCGTTCATCGATTTATTAAACGATGTCACGTCAAAAAATTTTAATTTTGTATTTAAAAAAAAATTCAAGGCGATTTCATAATTAAACTTTTAAACATATTGTATATTATATGGGCTGAATTTAGATAAAACGTAGATGTGTTAAAGTAAAAATACGTTGTAACCTCAATATAATATTATGATCTTAGTAACGGTTGTTATTCATTTTTTACTGTTACGCTTGCGAAAACCTTTGGAAAATGTTTGTACGAAATATCGTTTTCGTTGTTATAAATTCTTTATTCTTATTTTTCTTCCTGAATTGCTCCAATCTACAACTCTCCTACTGCACAGCATAATTACTTACGAATAAACGTATACGTTTACGTAAACTCGGCGTACAATGTGTACGTTCGTGTGGCTAAAATCACTTACCGACGTGCTCAGCCAACTTGAATGTGTCCATCTTGTTTGCGATGAGTTCTTCTCTTGTAGGAATATTGATCCCCATGTAACACGGGAACTTGAGTGGGGGAGACGCTATCCTTATGTGAACCTATAACAATTAATCTAGTTTATATAAAAGAGTTATAGAAGAATAGTATCGTTTAGCTTCAAAGTTTAGTTGCGGCAAAGCAAGCCCTTGACGAGAAAATTCTAACGAACGAAATTCTACAAGTATTTATTTGTGGTGACTGGTCTACCAATTTGTTATGCGGTGATGTTAGTTATTTCGACTATGTATTTGCGTGTTGTTCCCCACGAGAATGTAATGTAATTTCACCATGCCTACTGCTGATAGAGGACAAATCTTTGTTTTTAATTACTTTTTATTATTAATTACTTAAGATTATTGGAACATGGTTGAGCTTCTTACAAACTTGTGTAAAACAAAAGCTTGGCGATTCAAAAGAACGGCGGAGAGTTTATTGCCAGTTCTTCTCTTGTCTAGCCCTTGATTTGAGAACTGGCATTAAATGTAAAATTAGAAGCGTTTAATATATATTTCTTTTTGACGTTCATTGTGTTACCTAAATTAGTAAATGATTTTGAATTTGAACTTTATTCCGATATCAATGGCGTCATTGTCGGTATCTTAGTTCTTGAGCAGCGAAATGAAAACGAATTTATCTGTGTCATTAATACAGCATTATACAGCAAAACCATAAACAATAAAGTCAATAAATCTGAAATACCCGATGTGATCACGATGAACGATAACTTTAATAGCGATATCATGTTTGAAACAAAGTAAATTGAGAATAAAACAACCGCTTCTGATCATATGTCTGTAGATTTACTAAGGGGATTAACACAATTTGACAGATAGAGATGAAAGAGAAGTGGGATAAGCTCTAATATATTCAGTAATACACACCTCAGCTGCTCCCGCATCCCTCAGCAGTTTAATAATTGGTCCAATAGTGTTTCCTCTGACAATAGAATCGTCTATAAGCACGATTCGCTTTCCGCGGACATTCTCTGAGAGAGCTCCAAACTTCTTCGCAACACCCAGTTGTCTCAGGCGAGTGGAGGGCTGGATGAAGGTTCTGCCCACGTATCGGTTCTTGCAGAGGACCTCCATAAATGGTATACCCGACTGCAATTTTAAAGCAAATAATTTGAAGTTTAATCGAGGAACACAAGTTAAAGTAGTCAAAGTAGTAGTTAATGAATTTCATTTTAAAAATCCCGAAAATATTGAATGAAAAGTGTTGTGTGTTAACTGATAAGATATTTAAGTTCAAATATTATAAGAAAACATCTTCAAAAATACAAAGTATTCTTACAATGAGCTGTAAAAAGAAATTTCTACTTACGCTACCAGTAGGACCCAACATTGACATAATAAAAACATTTATTTCATAACCGCTTAAAATATTACTGTGAAACTCTTTAAACCGGCATTCGTTATAACGAAAAACTCTCTACATTTACATTTGTTTGGTTTAACACAAAACCCATACATTAATTCACTTTTTATAACGCAACAGCCATTCTCAATTACGAAGACATATTATCATATTTAGACTTCAACAACATACTTAAATGTAATTGTTTTTATAATCAGCTTACAAAACTAAACTTTTGAAGTGCCGAAATTTCTAAGAAAGAAATTAGCCTTAGTGTTTTTTTATTGCTTAGATTACATTGCCTGTAGGAAATTTTGGTTTCAGTTACTAAACGCACCACCGTCTCCTATCGTGTATTATCAGTCGTAAACAAACTTTGAAACTGTCAAGATGTCCAGTAAAAAAGCGTTATGAGTTTAGAATAATTTACCTAATGATAGTAATAAAATTAGAAATGATTGTAATTGTAAAAATAAAAATAAAATGTTTCCTCTATAACGAAAACTCCCTATAACAAAAAAAAATGCTCGGTCCCTTGAAATTCGTTATAAAGAGTTTACACTGTACATAAAAAAAATCAGTATATGAGACTTTTCATGAAAATACCTGTCTAGCATATCCGTGCGCGGCGGCAGTGCCAGACTCCGGTACAGAGGACACGATGTCCGCGTCGATGGGTGACTCCCTAGCAAGCATACGCCCGCACTGTAATCGCGCCGAGTACACCATTTGACCTGGATTGGTATTTTATATATAGCATATCATATTATTTATTAATTCCACATAATATTGATTATCTTCAAATTATCCTATTCACATTTCAAATTAATTTTTATTCAAACTTTATCGACACTAGCACTTAACGTATATGTGCGTGCACGCTGGTAAGACGGTAGGTGAGTAGTGCGTGCACCAGTGCGCTTTGTGACTTATTGATGGAAATGGTCTTATTGGGAAAATTCTTATGTATATTATTATTTTGTAATCGTCAAAACATTATATCAATTAATTAATTTAGATATAGAGGTCATATCACATACCCCATCTGTTTTTATAAAACTAAGAAAGGAATTTTTGCCATCTGTCTCTTTTTATCAAAGCGTTATCACAATTCGAGAGAAAGAGATGAAATTATACTTTAGTTAACATTGTGAGCCTGTTTTATTTTTTATCGGTAAGTAGCATGGGAAGTGAAACATAAAAACCAACAAAAACATCAGTTATTTTTGACAACACGCTTGACAAAAGAAATAATAACCTGTTTATTGTATGACTAAAATATTAGTACACATAAATTATATTTTGAAATTAAATGCAGTAATAAAGAAGTTTCCTTTGAGTAAAGTCAAAATCAACATCTACGGTACTTTTATTTTTCTTTTACTTGATTTTTGGCATATCATCAGTCAAAGAGGTTCGGTATAAGAAAATTACCTCAACTATATTGTGTTAACTAATCTTCAAGTGCTAACACAAACATAAGACCACTGAAAAATAACTTTTTAAGAGACTGAAAATACTTCTTTATGGACAAATGAAAACTGGTTATCACATCCTAATAATAAATAGTTTACCTTCAAAAATACTATCCGCCCGAGCGAAATAAACGTATTCGAAAATACAGAAAGCCTGCTGCTTGCTCTGTGGTCGCTCCACTACATCCATAGTCCGAATCCCATGTCGGGACATCTCGATTATTTCACCTGGCAACACTTCGCGCACGTATCGCGCACCTAAATAAAGAAAAAAGTGTACCTGTAGTAGTTTATTAGATATTTTTAATATTTCATAATTACATTTTACATAAATGTGTGGGTAAATTATAACTTATCAAAAGAATACAATTATTTAAGATACTTCCCAAAAAGGAAATTAGATTTTTTTTCATTGATTGATGATAACACAATTGGTCTAGGTAGAATGATTTATATGATCGTTATAATAAAACTAAGGTGTATTTTAGTAGCCAATTAAATCTTATTTCGAATCTAAAAATAGAACTATGAAATCTCAAAAAGTACTGGTCAATAATTACAAAAAAGCATGAAACTACCTTTATAAAGAGAGTCTTAATAATTGTCAATAATATAATAATAATATTACCAATAGATAGAAAGCCACAGGACTCCGAAGATACGACCCAACCCTCGGCTTTATCGTCTATTCCGTTCTTTGCACAACCATTCAATAAAACTGTAAAGAAAATATATATTAAATATCTTTAAATTATAATAAAATATATACAGAAACAAGAATATATTAAAAATATATGAAATAACATATACTTGACGAAAATGTGAATATTAATGAAGATTCATTGTTAGTATACATTTGTAGAAATCAGGTTACTGCCCAAGTTTAATTGGCGAACCCATATGTAAAGTATTACATGCATTATGAGATTTTTTATCTAAGGGGGGGGGGGGGGGGGGGGGGGGGGGCCCCGGGGGCGCGCCCCCCCCGCCCCCACCCCCCCGCCCCGGCCGGGGGGGGGGGGGGGGGGGGAGAGTTTAGCTTATTCGAGGCGTGCGGGGCAGCCCTAATAGCATGCTAGCGGTAATAGCGGGAAGGATTGCTCTTACATGGGTCATTGCGATGGACTGTGTGTGCTCTTTTTAATTTTATGATTTAATATTTTAATATACTCTAAGCTAGTGTATATTAAAAAAAGTGAAAAATAAGAAGGAGTATGACGAGCTCCACTAGTGGAGAGGCACTTCAAGAAGAAGAAGAAGCTAGTGTTTCCCAACCTTTTTTGTGTCGTGCCCCACCTTAGCCTTTTTAAAATTTAAAATTTAAAATTCTTATGCCCCCCCATATCACATGCATAATTTTTAATATTAAATTGAATAAATCAATTATAACATGCAAATCTATATAATATATAATATAATATACCAACATAACATTTTTATACAAATAGATATATAATATAATTCTCTGTTTCTCATTTCTCAACCATTCAATCACAATGTGCCACAGCGAAGCGTGGCAGGATACAGCTAGTATATTATATATTTTGTGTATATTGAAAATAATAATGAATTTATATTACTATTTAAAAATATAACGAGAGCGTGCTGTCTGAATGATAATAATTAATAATAATGAAATGATAATGATTCATGCATTACCCTCGGCATGCTGCGCTGATGATTCTTTGTAGACATCTGAAAAGGTTATCATTATTATAGTTTATCATATCACGTCCGAACGGCGGATTTACTAAAATTCGTGCAAGTAATAAATTCCCATTATATTAAATTCATGCATTCATTTGACACATATTTTTAAATTAAGTTTTTTTTTCAGAGGAGTGTTGGCCTAGTGGCTTCAGCGTGGGCCTCCCATACCATTCATCCATCCATACCTGAGGTCGTAAGTTCGATCCCCGGCAGTGCACCAATGGACTCTCTTTCTATGTGCGCATTTAACATTAGGAAAACATCGTGAGGAAACCGACATGCTTTAACCTAAAAAGTCGACATGTGTCAGGCACTGGAGGCTGATCACCTACTTGCGTATTAGATTTAAAAATTATCATGAAACAGATTCAGAAATCTGAGGCCCAGACCTAAAGAGGTTGTAGCACCACTGATTTTTTTAAACATTTAATGTAAACAATGTTCAAATAAAAATTGGCCTATTTTTTATTCGGTTAATTTTCGCGAAAGTCCCCTTTAAAATGAGCAATGTCAATGCATGGCAACACTTACATGATGAGCCAAGGGGTAGGATTTTGCCGAGACACAGTGGTCTATTTCCATAGGGATCCCGGACAGCATATATCTTGTCCTTCAACATTATTACCAAAGAGTAACTTAGAGGGGCCAATCTGCAATCAAAGTGATTATCAGTCTCTTTTCGCCACATCAAAAACACGATTTGACAGAAAGAGACGAAATTCTTCTATAATTAAAAGTGCCCATAGTTTTAATGAATGAGGTTAAAAAATCAATAACTTTTTAACCGTTAATCGAACTATTAACGAAATATATATATATATATATATACTAGCTGACCTGGCAAACGTCGTTTGGCCATGTATATTATTTATATTAAAAAATAGGGGTTGATCGTAGAGGGGTGAAAATTAGGGGTTGTATGTATTTTTTAATGATGTATCATAAAAAATTAAAAAATAATAATTTAGGGGTGGACTACCCTTAACATTTAGGGGGATGAAAAATAGATGTCCGATTTTCAGACATACCCAATATGCACACAAAATTTCATGAGAATCGGTCAAGCCGTTTCGGAGGAATTTAACTACAAACACCGCGACATGAGAATTTTATATATGTATTAGATATGTCGCAGCAAACTAGCTCAATTAGCCGTTCAATTAACAGCCTAGCCGTTTGAATAGCGGCCTGAAAGATGTTCAATCAATGTTCTGTATAAACCATAAAATCATGTACTGCCGAAGTGACTATAACAGAACATATCGTTGGTATTCTTTTTTTATTGAATATAATATATGTTATATGTAGGAGTACGAAATAAAGACTTAATTAAGTTATAATGGGATATTGTAACATGCATTTGGATTTTTATTGCTTTGTATTTTGGTCTGCTTTACAATGTACACTTTCTTTGACGATAATGGTACTTAGTTTTTTTTTAATTTTACCTCATAAGATGATTGATTCTCGCAGGCCAGTCAGGGCCATTAGTTTCGCCTTCGGGTGGGTTGAGGCAGAGAGCTTGTGTGATGAGTTCCGAGTCTGAATGAGTTGACAACCCTACTCCACGACCCAAGACCTATTGAGAAAATAAATATGTACAGGAACTGTATAAACTTATAGATATTTTGGTATTTTTAACACAATTTTTGTCTCTGGTTTCCTGCAAATAAAACCCCTATCGTATTTAATATGTTTTACGTAATTAAAAGTAATATTATTCATGTATATTTCTTTTTGAAACTGTACAAGACGTAATTTACGGCACGCAACTAGCAGCCTAAATTACATTATACAAGCGGATCCAACAGACATTGTCCTTCACACACGTTTTACATACAAAAAATATCTAATAATGACATTCTTGACTCCACTTGAACACACAAAAATTTCATCAAAATCTATCCAGCCTTTTAGGAGTTTAATTACGAATACATGCACAGAGGGTGTATATATACCAGCTGTTTATTTGATGTATAGATAAATAACCTAGATACCGACTGCAGCGCCATTTTTCGGGCTGATTTGTGTATCTAAATCATTCCAGATCATTCAAATCGATCCAGCCGTTTAAGAGGAGTTCAGTGACATACATACGTAGAATTATATAAATATAATATGTAAGCTATCCTAAAATTAATAATCTGAATAAAATACTTTAATAATCATGATTATTTTCCTTCTGTACTTTCGTAATAATTAAATGTCCTCCGAACCATTTAAATCGCCTTTAATATGTTTGTTAATTTTCAATTATTTTCAAATACATAGACAATTTTTACGGTTACTCTGCAACTTCAATGTTGAATAATCGCAATGAAAGTCACAGGGAAACCTTGCACAACGATTATATGAGATAGGAAGGAATCTAAATACCATCTTCCTAAGGCTGCTGCAATTAACAAGCTCTCCATTGTGAGCGACGGCTAAAGCACCGTGAGCTGTATGAACGACGAACGGTTGACAATTGACTTCCTCCGATGCCGCCGAGGTTGAATACCTGTCAAAATTTAGATAATTATAATTTATGAACAAAATATATTTTCTTGACAGCTGTCAGAAATGACAAAGTACGTACAGACGAAGGGTCTCAGGTCCTTGTTGAATTTCACATTCCAGAATATTAAATTTAAGAGATTTAAGAGACTGAACAGATCGAATTCGACCGAATAGAGAGAATTAGATTTAAAAGACTTTTGCGTAGTTTTTTTATAGAATAGGGGGCTAGAGGAGCCACCTGATGTTAAGTGATACCGCCGCCCATAGACTCTTAATGCCAGAGGGTTCGCGAGTACGTTGACAGCAAAAAAATGCCTTGAAAAACGCTCAGTTGTGGAACGACGGACGTCGAGGTGATACGGGTGGAATTTCAAATTCTGCCTCAACGTCCGATGACGAAACTCAGCTTTCCAATAAGTCCGCCGCAAGAGCAGTAACATTTCTAATTCATAATTTTTAAGGCAAGTAGGTCATATTTCTGTGCCTATCGGAAAACTCTTTCGCCGGGTTTCCCTCTATGGGTAAGGTAGGTATAACCGTGTTATTCTTGTCTCTAGCTGTCAAATCGTATTTACCTGTAATGAAAAGCGACAACTGGGTACTTAAACGGTGCAATTAGACTGTTTTTTAATAAGTGTAACTAAATAAATGTAAGCTAAAAGGCTGTTGTATCGTATTTTAAATCACGCGCAGACATGCTTTATTTATTACATCCAAGAGATTCGTTACGACAAAATTAAATATATTAAACGTTAACAAACCTAGTGTGACCAATCCCGAGATTTCCTTTGAGTTTCTTCATGGCTTCATCGTTAAATATATTGTTGATAAGCCCCATACCCTTGTGAGAATTGAACGTCCGCGCACTTTTGCCCTCTGACGTCACAATGCCAGCTGATTCTTGACCTCTGGAATAATTTACAAACGCTTATCAAAAAACCATTTTAGTATAAGTTTAGACTATCAATACATATAAATTATTATACTGTTGAAATATATTTGTTTGACTATGAAAAATATATGCAAAATGAAAAGAATGTATTGTTGCATAAATAAGTAGAGAAATCCATAAAGTACAAAATGTAAGTTTAGTAATTTGCCGCGCACCACTCATGTATGTCAGAAGTGAAACTTCTTTGTAAATTATTTATTACTAAGGTAAAAGCCCCAATAGATGATCATGTACCAGTATATGATCACTCCAAAAAAATTACGTTTACTGCACAAGACATTATACGACAGAATTGCCATCTAAAGTTCTAATATGTAACTACTAAACGAATACATCAAACAATAGCGTGTATTTTTTCTCGATTACTCTCTCAATCTTTCTCACTATAGCTCTCTCCCACCTCTCGCTCCATGGCTATTTATTTTTGGCAATAGCGTAGCTTCATGCTACGTTCGCCCTTTCTCACTCTCTCTCAATCGGTCTCAATCGATCTCTCCCTTTTCTTCGACAAAAACGCTGCACATCTGCGTGACGCTAATATTATTATTATTGCGTTTCATCAGTAAATATTTCACCCTTGTGCGCCTAAAGAAGTTTCACTTCAAAAATAAATATATTGTTGTAATTTTTTGAGTTATTTATTATAATGCTGATTCTTATCTCCGCAACTTAATCAGAAATACAAAAGTACACATTTGCTTAGTTGTACAGCTATATAGAATTATTTAATATTATTTATTTATGTCAAGGACATTAGATTTTTCACACATATAATTATTAATACACTTGATAAAACATATTATTCAAATAATATTTTAGAATTCAGCTAACATTTTAATTAGCATATGTAACAATGTAATCCGATTTTCGGACAAATACAAAATATTATTGAATGTGTTTTTTGGCTAATTCTAGCTATTTTTTAAATTTTTATTTATTTCTAAGTTAATTCTTAAAATTAAATTATGTATAGATTGTTTGTGATTAGTAGCGATTAGACTATCTTATCCAGAAAAAAACGGTAATAATTTGTTAAGTCAAAGTTTACTCATGCTAGGTCATATTACCAAAATCGCGGCCTTGTGCCAAATGTACGGGGGCTTGAGACAGAATCACATTGACAGACGTGACCCATTGCGTATGGGGATGACATTAGCTCACGCTTTGTCACGTGACCATTTTCATACAAATTCATTTGGCGTTAGTAGGTGTCGCCGCGCCGGGCGAAAGTGATTTTGTCTGAAGCCTTAGATTAGATTGTGATGATGGCAGGCAAAAACGGGGAAAAATAGCAAATTGTGTAGTTTCTTAAAGGTGCCTTTTTCCCATTGGGATCAAAATAAATATATATTTTTTATTTAATTACTTACTGTTGTGCGTATGAATTTTTATGAAATTTAATAAAGCTTAATTATTATTACCTCAATCGCGAGTGCGCCTTTTTAATAGTTATCAGTGTACATAATTTACTAGCTTTTAGTTAATAACCTGTGCAATCCTTAATCTATTTAATAATATTTTAGCAAAAATTTAAAACGGCCATTTCGCTCTTCGAAACGATGATTTTTATCGTACTTTGAAAAACTCAAAGAACATTCACATTTCGGCGCGTATGTTTTTCCGCCATTTTGAGAATTTTATTCGGCCAATATAATGGGCATTACAGACTATACTTTAGAAATTTTAGTCCTATCTTTTTTTGTAGATAAGCTTCTACTCTAGTTACTATTTTTCATTATTCTATCTAGTTTTACTACCAAGAAGGCCATGACACATTTTGGGTCGCAACAGCGGAGTAGGTATTCTAACTATCAATATAAAAATTCTTATTCTATACAGTTTTGCGAGAATAATATATTCTGAAATTCAATTTCTTTATGTCACCCAGCCATCAACTGACAGTTACTTCAAATTAATCACGTTTTAGATAAGAATTATCATCAAAGAACTGTTTTAACCTTGTCTCCATCCAAGGCTATGGTCCAATTAAGAAGAATAACCGCTTTTAAGCAGTTTTTATCACTTATATAAATATTGGCTATCTAATATCCGTTATTTTATGAGATTTAGAGTATATGACTATATATTCGTTTTGACCCGTTCACCTAGCCTTAGATATCTGTGGATAGCATTGTCCAAAGAGAAGATTGATACTTTTGCAGATATTTGGTCCAGGATCGATGAGGTTGGTAAGAGATAGGACGAAATGATTAGGGCAGTGTTTCCCAACGTGGGGCAATTATATTGTTAAGCGGGGCTATTCAAAATAGTAGTTTATGCAACTGTCATATAATAGAGGGTATTAAAACATGAGTATAGTGTAAACGAGCCGCAGGCGTGTTTCAAAATAAGATTACACGAGTGTTTTAATACCTAATTATATGCAGTTGCAAACACTACTTTATTCAATTTCATGGCTATATATATATTATTTCATTAAATAAAATTCAATATAAAAGAAACAAATTATTTATTATAAGTCTGTTATTGGTCTATTGACTCGGAACTAGTGCATTGCTCACCACAGATAATGTGATCTTAAATTGAATTGAAACCTCCTTTATTTTGATTAATATTTAATGGAACACATTGTACTTTAATAATTAAAAAAAAAGCATTGTTTTGTTAGGAGAATAATGAATCGAGAATTTTAATTGTAGTAACAACTCAACTAAATTAAAATTAATTAATTAATTAATCAAAAGTAATAATACGACTCGGCTTCTATCGAATCTCTTTTGAGACTGAACATGTTCGGAGATAATTATAGTACATAGGCATGTGACGAGACAACAGTGTCCTTTATTCCAACTCGCATACACTAAATTCCATACGGAATACTTTATATGACGCAAGTAGAGTATTCAAACCCTGTTCATAACTTTGGGCCACAATCCCACCTGATGTTAAGTGAGATATGGCCTGTTGGAGGGCATGCCAGTCCAGCCTTGCGATTCTGTAACTCACTTTTCGAACTCACACAGCGGTTTTAGCCTATTCAATCGCCGCTTAAATGAACTCATATTATACTGTCTAGGGAATGACTAATCAAAATTTGAACATATGAACTACTAGATATCCTATTAGATTTAGATTCCTAATCACTTATACATATAAGTCACATATACCTGTGTTGCAACGCCACCAGTCCCAAGCATATGACCTGCCCAACATCCACTTGAGTGGGCCATTCTCCCGTGCCAATCGCACCGAATACTCCGCACTCATGTGTCAAACCTGTGTTAAAAAAAAAATTTGCTAGTCAATTCGGAAATATATCAGTAGGCAGCTGGTTCCACAATTCTGGAACGACGGACGTTGAGGTAATTAGGAATTTGATATTCTACTTCCGATGATGAAACTTTCTTGTATACCCTCTTATTAAAGTTGGTTCAAGTTAAATTGTCTTTTTAATTAATGTCAAATTCAATGTGATCTATTACGGTAATGAATATATTTAAAGACTGATAAATACTTATAAGAACATTTCGCAAGCATAAAAACAATTAATTATTCACTTAATGTAAATAAGAAATAGGGGTAACATGTCTGCTATTGCTTAAATAGCTTCTACATAAACTAAATGCGACGTAATTATACACATATAATTGACAAAAAGAGCCTATAATCTTTATATATTATGTAATTAATTCGCGTTTTATATACGTTTAACAATTTTCAAAAAATATTTGGGTAATACAAAATTATAGTTAAAAGAGAAATACAGCCAGCATTAAAGGTATAATGCAGACCAAACTTTTTAAATTTGTCTTACTATTAATTAATTTTTAATTATTATTGTGTAGGTTAAGAATATTGTAATTACTGTATATTTGCGTGTTAGTTATAATGTGTCCGGTGGATTGAGCGAAGCCCTGATGTAGGCCATTGTAACATATTTAAGAATTTTAGCAATGGCATGTCAAAATCTTAACGTATAATTTTTAACTGTAGTCAATAGAGACAAAATCGACTTATCTGTCACAGATAATATTTATAAAATTATTGAGAATTCGTTTAAAGTTTGCTTCTCAATGTGACCAAAAATCTACAAAAGCTTTGTGCTTTAGTGATTAGCCAATTCAATCCAAAATATACGTAGTTATAATATGTGGGCTACCAATTGTTTGCAAGATGGTTTCATCTTCAGAACTTTTGAAAAGTTTAACTTTAAGATAAAGGCTAAGATTGCATTACTTTTGACAAGCAGTGGTGGTATGATTTCGGCCACCGGGCTCCGACTCGCCCTTCAATATCATGAGAATATTTCTGGAGTAGCTGCCGGCGAAATACGCCAAGCCTACCAGAAGTCTAATATTAAAGTCCCTTTTTAATAACTGGGAGATTTGACACTCCCCTGCGTAGCTTCTCGGCCACAGATGTGCCTGATATGCTGTACGGGGTCTATTTAAAAAAAACCAGTGGTCATGCCTTTGAATTCCAGCTGTGCATGAATTGCTCATTATTTGTACGCACTTGCTTGTTAAAGATAAACATGCCGATAAAAATTAGACGCGGCTTTAGACCTAAATGACGCGTGTCAGTCAAAAAATATTGATTACCCACTTGTCTATAAAGATAATGATCAAAGTAACATCAATGAGGCAAGATTATTGATGTAATAGGAGATATATATTATCTATACTTATATTATAAAGGGGAAAGATTTGTTTGTGTTTGTAAGGAATTGGCTCAAAAATTACTGGAGTGATTTTTTTTAAATACATTATCACTGATAAATATAGGCTAATAAGGATCCCTACTAAAACTACAATAATGTTAGCCAACGTGTAAAAAATATGCCCATAAAATATCTTTCAGCGCATGCGCTGCGAAAACTATTGATGATAGAACAAAAAAATGTTTCACAATATTAAAGAACATATCGATATCTAAAAGAAATGTTTAAACATTAATGTTCCTTAGTAGATGATATTGTAGTAGCCCATCGAAGGAATATAAAAAATGTTACCTGATTCGACGGCACCTCGCCCGAACCGCTTGCTTTTGATCTTCACTTCCCCTTGTGAATCACACTGGCAGTCACTCTGACACATCTCCGGTCTGTCATCTATGGTTAATCTGTCAATTTTCGCGCCAACGGAGGGCGCCGTCCTACTTTGCAAACTACATGGATTTGGTCTCGAGGGACCGTCCATGTTTAATCTGGAATAAATATATGCTTGTTATTTAAAATTATTACATATTATTATTAATTAAATTGTAATGCGTTTATATGGCATAAAAGTTCTGTCAAGTTTAATCACAACAAATTTATAAAAAATAATAAATCAGTGGCGCTACAACCTCTTTAGGTCTTGGCCTCAGATTTCTGAATCTGTTTCATGATCATTTTTAAATCTAATAGGCAAGTAGGTGATCATCCTCCAGTGCCTGACAGACGCCGTCGATTTTTTGGGTCGTAGACATGTCGGTTTCCTCACGGTGTTTTCCTTCACCGTTCGATCAAATGTTCGATGCGCATATAGAAAGAAAGTCCATTGGTGGCACAGCCGGGGATCGAACCTACGACCTCAGGTATGAGAGTCGCACGCTGAAGCCACTAGGGCAACGCTGCTCTAAACAAATTTATATCTTTTAACGAACTAAATAAAGAAGAAATTATGCGAAGTAGTTGAACACCAATGTTGACAGAAAGTTTAATTAACGGACTATTTATTACAATACCGCAACTATTGTTTGATTAAAAAACAAATAAGTATATTTCGATATTATCTAAATTCACTTCTATATGTCAAAACCTGTTTATTTCTAAGTAAAATTACCAGTATTTTAAACTTCTAATATTCCTCTATCGAACTAGTAACTATTGCTTAATTGGCACTACGTTCTATTCGCAACGTACGTTCACTGATTGTCAATTAATGCGGCCTCCAAGCCCAAATAACATTCTCCGTATATGGCAGATGTTAGACTAACCAGAATCCACCCCCGTCTGAGATTATATTTACGCAAAATGTCAATAACACAAAAGCAAAACATTAGTGACGTCAGTGATTTCAATGTGTTATAAAAGAATTATGCGTGTTGACCTCAAAATGAGGCCATACGCGTTTACGTCGAAAGCTTAACACCTAAGCTATGTTTATTTAGTGTTACCATGTTTTTTTTTAACATTTGTTTTTCAATTAGTTGCCAACAGTCAACTCGAAAAATATATAGGGATGATTCAAATAAACTGTATTCAACGATAAGGTTGCTTCGTGTACGTAAAATTGTAGATCATACACTGCTGTTTTGCAATTTTGTGTCATTTTATAAAGAATTTGGGTAATTTGGCTAAATTCAGTTAAGCGAAAGGACATTTTGATCCTGCAACACTTCAGTTGTGTCGGAAATCCCTGAGGGAGCACTGAAGCCTATACACATTTCTCTCCTATTTTTATAGAAACTTAATACTAATACAATAGAGAACTTATTAATATAAAAAATAAACTATAAACAAAACAAGAAAACATAAAACCTTTTTATAGCTAAATATAAAACACAATTATTGTGAATTTAGCCAGTGTGCAACTCGTCTAACATGCAATAATATTCAGGATGCGCAAGACACGCACATATACACACATATTATGATATTTAAAATCAGCGTAAATCTATTAGAGAATTTTTTACGAAAGTCCAGTCCGTAGACGCTTTGTTTTGCTTATTAAAACATTTGATAACATACGCGTTTTAAGACATTTCGTCACTGTAGAATGATAACCTTGTATGTCAAAAAACCATTTTTTTTTATTTATTTTTTTATTCTTAGACACTTATGTCATTTAACTGGTATAATCATGAAGTAAAGACTTATTTATGTTATTAATGATTCCTTTTACCATCAAAACTATGGCCAAAAACACATACATAAACGAACATTGACGAAAAGATACATTTTTTTCGTTTCCTGTAATGTTGGGTTCTCTGGACATACGAGGTTATCATTCTACAGCGACGGTTTGTTTTTCAAAAAGGACACTGACATTATAACGCGAATTTATTGTCAAGACGTCACACACTATCCAGCTGAGGTCAACATAATATTTAAAGTGAACCACAATAACAAATAGCGGTACTTTCCTCTATCTGGGAATAATAAAAACGACGTAATAAATGAATTCCAATTTGTGTATCTTTTGTTTGTTATATAGAAACATGACGTCATTAGATTATTTAATAGAATACACAAGTGATATTTGTACATGTCTCAAACTGAAAAACATGCGAACCGCGTTTTTGGCGGGCAAATATTTGTTTTGGGCTGACGTGACCAAAACTGAAACTAGAAACGGCAAAGGTCTGGTGACAAATTGGTTAAGATTTTTTATCTAGATTATCGTTTCCCAACGTAGGACCCACGACTCACAATTTGATTGTTATTCGAAAATTTATTAAATGACTTGGAATGAGAATTGAAATTTTTTCAGTATATTTTTTTTTTATTAAAAATTATCTATGTTGACCTTTATAAGAATTTTTGTAGATCCTGACTAATTTGCTAATAATAATATTTAGCCGCTGGAACATGTAAAGTCAATATTTACCGAAAAGTAGGTAATATAAGCACAGAATTAAATTCTGTAATTAAACAAAAGTAGAAATTAACAAGTTTTGCGTCATGTCTCTAACTTATCTTTTGTAATTATTTTTAAGCCACATTAGAATGTTGTAATAATCGTAATTATTATTCAGCAGGTGGCCAATACCTATTTCTTTATGTGATAATGATTTAACAATACCTCGTGAATGATTGATTTCTAATTTAACCAACCGTAACCAATGCGGTCACGCAAAACGTTTAAACGATATGAAACCTATTTTCGCTTAAAAACTAAAAAAAAAAACTAATTGTCATTTGACGTATGACGTATTTAGCGCTTTCGAATAGAGTTGTGACGACGACAAGATAGTGGCAGTGTTACGGTACCCGGTTTTTGTGGAAATTTTGGCTTTTTGAACATTAAAACCATGAAAATTACTAGCAAATACCACCTTTCACTATAAAAACTATAGTTTTCAGTTCTCTTCGTATTGAATAAGAGGTCAAATTTAACTGCGTCTACACAGAATCGGGAGCGTCCTATAAAATGGCGGAAGAAAACAGACGAAATGTTATTACCATAAAGTATAGAAAGATCATGAATCTTTCTATTTAATTTATGGCAGCATTAATTTTAATGAATGATCTAATGACGTAAGTAATAATTTGTTTTGCCACATTATTGTTTACAATGCAAAGTATAATTTTAGCAATCATAGCTAAGGGGGCAAGTTCATCTGATGAAACCAAGCAAATATTTTTAACGAAACGCAATTTGTTAATTTATGTCGTCATAATCAGCTTTGCAGGGGGTCAGTTATCAATTGACATTATGATAGTATATTTCCACAGTATCGTATCATAAACAAGTCGATAAACAGCAGTTACTTTTATCTGTATAATGGCCAAAACATGCTTTCTTGAAATAATTGTATGTATTTGGAAACTAAAAATAAACCGGTTTTAACAAATAATTTAACGAATAATTATGCAATTTAATTGTCTAGTTAACTATTAAGCTAAACGACAGCTAACACTCAAATACATGAATTTTCGCAACGTAGCCATAGATAAATATACAGATACTAAACTAGTACAGTAATTAAGTGAAATACAAGTATATTACGACTGTACATAATATATATTAAATCATACCGTAATATCAATCGTAAACAAATATTATGATGTACCTATTTGTAAATACGTACATGGAATAATTCACACAAACTCAACAGAAATTACCACGACCTATATTTTCTCCAAGATGTAAGTGACGGATTTACCAGCAGGCTGAGTAGGCTGGAGCCTAGGGCGCATGTTTTTAGGGCCGCAAATTCGGAAACCATAGAAATCAAAAAGTTTTCTGCAGGGTTTTCTGATGTTTTACAGATAGACTTTTGCCAAACCCCCCCACCAGTAATCGACCTCTGCGCCATCATCTCACACTTTATATGAGTTAAAAGAGCGAGACTTGGACTGGAGAGAGTGTATTTCCCTCTTCTCCCTATCCTATACATGTCAGTCCTACTACTCGTGGGAGGCTGCGAACTAGATGGTTTATGTATAATTTAGTGCTCAAAAATCAAACCCAAAAATCATTTCACGTGGAATGAAATTGTTGGATTCTAAATATAATCTAGGACATGGCAATTGTAGAGGCAAAGGCGGCGATAACTTCACAACCTATACCTTGAAAAATAATTGTAAGTCCGCCACTGAGAATGCAAAAGCCACCCCAGAACATCTCTATCGCGGCCATGTAGGAACTACTCGAGATGGTTTTACTGGATATTGCTCTCCCAAACTCTGAATAGCAAAGATTGTGGTGTGGGTTTACTACCACACACCTCTGCTACTTCTGGTGCAGTGCATGGCTGGATGTGCATTTCCACTTCGGATATCAAGGACGAATAGTGTATTGCGTTATTTCTGTTATAGTCGCTTTTTTAAATTAGACTTGATAGAAAACTGATGGCTGGCATAGGGAACTCAACAGAAAGCAGACAATACTATATAGTTTACATAAGCTAAACAAATCAAAAGGAAAATGTATACTTTTGCCGCGTCGAGCGCCTTAATACTATATGAATACTTTATACGTTGTATGGCCTTGTATCTTGTATCTTTCTCATTACAATAGGGAATTGCAAGTGCAGTTAGCCGAGACAAGTACTCGATTGTTGGAATTAATCATTAGCTGTCTGTCATGCAATTGCATAATGGGGCAACGACCGCTAGAAAATCCGACTTATACGACGTCCTAGCTAACGTCGTATAGTAAATAAAATGGAAAATTAAATATTAAGTAATAAAAATGGCTTCATTTAGTTATAAATAGATTTAGACCTATAAAAAAATTAAGGCAACGAGATCTGTCCCCATAACACCCTTATCATAATAATTCTAATACCTAGATATAGAAAATTAAAAAAAAAAATTGTTATCTATATGTTTTAATCAATTAGGCTTTAAACGAAGCCTTAAATTTTTTGCTAGAAGCTTTTGCTACTGATAGTTTTATATTCCAATAAGTAAGCTTTCAAATTTATATTTTTTTAATGCGAAATAACATGCGTATAAAGCGAAATTTGGATATAATTAGTTTCTAGTTTATGTGGTTTGTGGTTTAGTTGCAACACCACAAACCTGTCTAATTCTAGATTAAATTTGTATAACAAGTCTAAATTACTAGATTGATTAGGACTTATTTCACAGACTCCGTTTACATACATTACATATATTACGTTTTTATACATTCTTATTAATTTAGTAATTTTATTTATTATTGGCAATCGAAAAAGTTTTGCGGTTAAGACATACATAGGGTGAAATTCGATACGTCAAAAAATTTGATTTTGAAGGGTCGAAAAGTCATAGTTCCCGCCAATAACCTGTGTAACGTCTAGTTTATCGGTCTCGGATGTGAATCGTAGTAAACACCTAATGTTATTACTTTAAAAAATCTTTAAACTTGGATGTCATCGATAAGTATTTCTATAGTAACATAAAACATATATTTTTTGTTTGTAAATTGATCCTATTTCGATTAAGTTAGAAACTATAAGAAAATCTATAAAAAGTATAATAATAGTCTGTGCAGTGGGCATTAGTAAATATTTTATAATAATGGATTCTATGAGTTCTTGATCAAAATGAGCTTAAGCTTCATGGCGCGTATGGGCATAGTTTTTGTATATTAACAGTAGTACAGTAGACTGCAAACAATATCTTCAATTAAATTTTTAATGGTATCTGGCTTTCAGTTCGAAGATAAGTTGGAAATTTAGTTTTTCAAAACTTATCGTTTTCTTCTAATTGAATAAATCCCCATAAAAAATGACCAATGACATTTGTGTTTACAACTTTATTAAGATCAATATTAGTTATTTATGGAAAGCATTCTTATCCAGACAAAAGCTCGTATCTCTGTGAGCAGACCTATTGACTTGTAGGCCGCAGAAAATAGGCCAATAACGTATCAATCGTTAGACATTATTCAATAGTGATAAAACTATTATTACGTTTTGCGACACGCAAAAGCAGTATTTATTTACATGGAATGTTGCATCATTAAGCAATTACCTAAATATATTATAATAATATATGCGAGTTTGTTGTTTCTTCCCTACTAAAATTTATTATGAAATATTGGTTAACAGTTAACACTAAAGAAACATACAACATACTACAACAAATATAGGATATGATTTATGCTTATGATAGTGTTTTTTTTTGATTAATGAAAAAAATTATAATATGCTCCACATTTACCTATTTCTGGCTTGCCCCACATATAATCTTTATTGAAATTGTGATATTTAATAAAACATTGACGTATATAGCTGATTAGTGAATTATCTAAATTTATACAAAATTTGACCCACATCTAATGACATATACATAGATAAACACAATTAAAAATATTATATCCAGTGATATCTAAAAGTCGAAAAAACAGTATCAATGTTATTACTAACCCACAAATCTAAAATTATATAATATATTACAAATTGCAACATATTTGTTAATCATACAATTTATAATAGTATAATATTTTTATACTGAGAGCGCAGCAATCATGCATCAATCATTCTTTTTGGACCATAGTGGACTAAGGCATGTTTTTTTTTATTTTACTATGATTTCCCATGCATAGCATAAATAATACTTTTCATACAAGTGCCAGAAAATGTATTATCTTTGCTCTAATTTTAGTTTAGAAAACTCATAAAACATATGTTTTAAATAATTATAGTGTTGTGTAATATTATATATGAAATAATATTGGATATTGATAAGAGTGAAACTTGAATTGACCGTAAATTAAAATTTATATGTTCAAAGGTTGATGTAGATGATATTTCACCACTTTTTAATATCAATGAATCGTAACAATTGTTATATGTACACCATAACATTATGGTTTGATGACTATTTATGTATGTTACATTAGACACTATTAACTTTGGTTCTATGAGAGTCCATATGCCCTGCAAGCTAAGTACATACTTATATTCTTATCCAAAAAAAATAGATCTTCATAGGTAAAGTAAGAACTTTATTTAACATAATTTGCAATGTTACTTTTATAATACATAAATAACTATTCTTAATCATTATTTGTAATGCTGTAAAACAGAGAGCTACTATTTTATATTTTTCACCCCTGTTACTTAGGCTAATGGAAATGGGCCACATTTATAGTGTTTTGTTTAAACTTAAAGTTGTCTATAAACTTTGGAACAGGTGTTAATGTTATAATTACTTTTAAATAAACCAATGCATTTTTATTTTACGTAATAAGCCAATTATAGGTAATAAAAATATATTTATAAACAAAAATGTTACAGTCTATGCGTTACGAAAGTATTAACTTATTTATTATTTTATAAAAGTTTAAGTTAAGAAAGAAGACGTTATTATTTATCATCTACATTCTCAATTAGGATTTTTTTTGTTACTGTATAAAAACTTAGAATATAAATTAATCAAGTAAATGCTTCAAGGTCTTAATACCATGTGGGTTGTGTATTGACGATTTTAAAGTGATTGCTAGTTTAAAACACATCAAAAACCTACTAAATGTACGACCGTTATGAAACTTTTTAATTTAGTCGTTTTGTACTAAATCACCTGATTGCGTGCAGGTTATATAGAGAATAAATATATTTTAATATGTTAACTCACCTATCTGAAGAAGAAAACACAAACAAATAATAACAAAAGTTTTGTAAACAATGTGAGGCGTAGCGGAGCGACAAGTATCAAATTGTAATTGAAACTAGGCTCCTTCTCTGTTTGAATTTGAATCTAAAGTTGACTGCGATCTGCGCGTGCAACTTCTGACAGTGACAACTGTATCTAGAAAGACGGAAATGCTGTGATACTTTAATATTTAGTTTTTTTTTTAACTTTGCCTATCAAAATGAGAATCAATAGTTGGAATGTTGACAAAATCGAAACTCGGTAAATGTACAGCTCTTATTGTAGACACTTTTAAAAAGATATTACAAAATATGTATTAATTGTATATAATTTAAAAAAATAAATATTTTGAATTTTGAAGTTTTTTAACATTTACAGAAACAGTAGTCAGTAGATATACATAATTCTTGTATGTAAAGCTCATGTTGAAAATTCTCGCGTCGCAACACTCATGATTGGGTGATCCGGCTATAACAACTCGTTATCTAAAATAGCAGTCAAGTAGGTAAGTGCGTCAACCGAACACATGGTGGTCTACGAGGCATGAACAAAATTTATAAAAGGCACTCGCAGTTCAATTGTCGCGGGAATTTGTCGACTACCAAGAAATACTAGCTTTCTCTCTATTATGGCAGCACCAAAGGAAGGTGAGTAAAACATTTTTTCCATTCATGAGCACATGGTTATAAACCGACTAATTTTAAGAGATGTGTAGTTATCAAAGTAAAAAGGTGTTGGCATTACAATTTTTCTCGACAAGATTATAACATCTCCGGTGTTTTGTTGCGATACAGAGGCACTTATGTTATTGACCTTGAAACAAATTTACAACCCAATACTAGGGTACTTGGTCATAATGATTTATTACATTTATTTCATGGCGAATAATTTGCATATTAGGTAATTTTGTCTCGACCTTAAATCAGCTCCAATTTGTTTTCTATCGTTCTTTACTTTTACTTGTATGTAAAAAGTAATGTTAAAGAGGCGCATGGCTTTGGACCCCTTAAATACATTAACTATCTGAGTCAATATCATTTACATGATGTAAATGATATTGACTCAGTTCACCAGTGGGTCTCACGCGCAACCACATTATTGCGTGGTAAGTACACCATTCCCGAGTGATGAAAATATGTAGAAAAAATTTGAAGGTGGAGCCGTAATTCGAAAATTTTAACCACCTATTTTTTATTAATGTTGAACCTAGACTAGATGAAATATACCTGTACAAACTTTTTGTCGAATATCTTTTTTTTTTTTTTTCCAGTCGCGGGCTGTAAGCTCGGTAGCCTGATCATCGAAGGCAAAACGAAGCAAGTATTTGACTTACCAGAACAACCAGAGCAATGTATTCTCATCAACAAAGACAGAATCACAGCCGGCGATGGTGTCAAAGCTCACGATATGGAGGGAAAGGCTGCCATTTCAAACCAAACTAACGCTAAGGTCTTCGAAATCCTAAAGGCAGCAGGTAATTTATTTTTAATATGGCCAGTGTTAAGAAGTTGTAACAAGAAGGTCTTATTGCTATTCAATGCCTATTGTAAGTAGTATTAAGTACTCTATACAAGGGATCATTATAACGGTACTTCGTATTGTAGTATGTAAAACCGTTTTATGGATTAGGTACCTAATTTAATCTATATTACTGTTGAATGTTTTATAATAATCATAGTTATTAGCAAATTTTGACTCCTTAAATGTGGCATGTGGTGGACGCAGTGTCGTTTTCACTGAATTTTCTTATACGCAAGTATGTTTGCGTTCTATATTGAAACTAGTGTCTCTACTATTACTCCAGGGCTTTAGCCCCTATGCATCGCAGACGCTAATATCATTAGCCTAACATATCCCCTACCTCTTATTTACAATTCACTTAGCCTTAGCCGTTATTGAAATGTTATATTTAGCTGGTATATGATAATTTAAGTTCTTGCAACTCCGTGCAAGGGATGCCAGAATTAGAAATAATTTACCGTTGGAACCAGTTATATTAGTCATTACTCAATATGTTTACACAGGCAACTGGGTTTTAATCACTAGTTCAAATGAATTGTATTATGAACGATTGCCTATTAGTTTAAAAAGTTATCAAACCAGTTAGCATAACGCACATAATTTCTTTTATTATTACCATTAATATTTATTGTCATTTTACGGTTAGTTAGCAGTGTTGGCCTAGTGGCTTCGGTCTCATTCCTGAGGTCTTAGGTTCGATCCCCGGCTGTGCATCAAAGGTCTTTCTTTCTATGTGCGCATTTAACATTAGTCGAACGATGAAAAAAAACGTTCTTGTCTTAGACACAAAAAGTGTTCGGCGTATGTCAGTCACAGGAGGCTGATCACCTACTTGCCTATTATATTGACAAATAATCATTAAGCAGATAGAGAAATCTGAGGCCCAAACCTAAAAAGGTTGTAGCGCCACTTTCTTTTTACGGTTATTCTTACAGACCTCTCCATACATAGATATCTCGTATATGATTACTTTCGGCCACTGTGCCTGGATAAGTCCTCACTTTCCGATGTTTTTTTTGATTGATTTGTTTTTCTGAATCCTAGAACACTTATTTATATCTGTCGTTAAATAAACGGACTCTAAACTTCGTAGCTGAAACATACAAAAGTTATAAATAATCTCATTATAAAACTCTAGTGTTAGAATGGAGGACTTTGTGCCATTGATCTAATCTGTGATGAGTTCTCTGAACTGAACTTTACTTAAAATTATCAACGTCAATGGCCAACTCATTTATGTATTACATATTTAAAATGTAGTATAAGGGTATATACTAATATAGCATCCTTGACGACCCAACATCGTCCAATTCATGAGAAGGCTCTAGTAATTGGGACATGTGTGTCCTTACTGAACTCACAACCTGGTAGCAAGAGAAAACCCGGTAGACCGAGACTGCGTTGATAGGAATATAGGTTCGAAGTTGGACGCACGAAATAGATTGTGGTGGCGAAATATACTCGGGAAGGCTAAGGCCCACAAGGGGCTGTACAGCCATTGATGATGGTACTCAAACTAAGATTCAATTGTTAAAGTTAATAACTTATAATAGAATCTTAACCTAAGCTGAACCTGTGCTTGACGACGAAACACCTTCACCATATTACATCAGTAGATAGTTGCACAATGTTAGTCCAGAAGGTTTTAGTAAACAAGTCTATATTAAGATAATTATTACGCAAATAAGTGATTAAAACCTTTAGTCAACAGTTTAGTTAACTTTGTGACCTTTTGATATAGACACGATAGTGAAATAAGCATTATTTATTATATAATATTTGTAAGGTCATTGCGATTAAAACACTAAAACAAAACCGTAATTACCAACAGCAATATCCAATATTGTCTTTATACGTATATTGGCAACTAGGCAATTCAAAGTCAAACACAAAATTACTTTAGGTAACCAAGTACATTTATGAACGTCAACAGAAAAGATGATAAATAACTAAATTTGCATTTACTACCAGTTTGCAAGTCAATGGCGTAGGGCGGGCAAGAAGAACTGGCAAGAAACTCTCCGCCACTCTTTTTAATCGCTAAGTTTTGAGTCATACAAATTGTTTGAACTGGAGCCAATCAATCCCAAGATCTAGGATCGTTTAAATAATCGTCAAATTTATAAAAGATATTTTATTGATTAATTTACGTTTACGTTTTGAATTTATTCAGTGATAATTCTCTAATGACGCTTGGGAGTTTGTTATAAAAACGAATACAATTTCCATTTATCATCTGGAGCCTGGTTGGTCTACGTTTAGATTTGTTCTGTTAATTAAAAAGGGTAGCGGAGAGTTTCTAGCACATCTTGTTTTTAATCTTAAGTATACAATAATTGTTATTATGATATATAGAAATAAATATATATCATAATATCCACCAATGTATGCTCGGGTATAATGATTGCACTATACTAAAGAATGTTCTTTTGGAATGGATTAAAGTTAAACCACTTCCTTTCTTCAAAGAGATTCTACAGCCACGCTTTCTGTAGCATTGTATGATATAACATTGTATAATATGAAGTTCCGTAGCCAGTGTTCGACACACAATTTTGATTCGATATGTCAGATGATTTAGCAAATAAAAAAATCCTTTTAAAAAGCCAGGCGTTGAAGGCACGACCATATTTCTAACCTGGGTGCGCTATGGCCTCTATAGAAATTGATAGGTTACAACACAGCTATGTAAGATATTATGTTTAGATTTGAATAATCGTGTATATTCTTTGTGAAGAAAGCCGGTTGATGACAGAATACTTCATTAATCTTTACAGTACTTATATAAACTCTGATTTTTCATACCGTAGAATTGTGTCATAAGACAAATTTGAAATTTATAAAAAAGTAAATCTAAATATTTACTTACGCAAGTGAAATAATACAAAAATAATATTTCAATATCACAAACCATATCCCGAATTAACTTTAATGTCGTGAAATGTGAATGACATGTCGAAAAATGATAGAATTCTAAAAGCTGTTAGAATTCTATGCAATCAAAAATCAGAATATAGGTTCATTTCGATTTATAGTCCTTATAAATTAGACCACAAAATCTTTTCTAATAAAAAAACCAAAACTCCAACTAACAACAAAATCTCCTTTCCAGGTATCAAAACAGCCTTTATAAAGATCGCATCAGCAACAGCGTTCATCTCGAAGAAATGTGATATGGTACCCATTGAATGGGTGACCAGGCGGCTCGCAACTGGATCATTCCTTAAACGTAACCCTGGCGTACCAGAAGGGTTCCGCTTCACCCCACCAAAGCAGGAGACGTTCTTCAAGGATGATGCTAATCACGACCCTCAGTGGTCTGAGGAACAGATCGTTTCTGCTAAATTCAATTTTAATGGACGTCTTATTGGTAAGAATTTGTCCAATAATTTTTAGTTTATTTGTTAGTTTCGTTTTGATCTATACTAATATTATAAAGAGGAAAGGTTTGATTTTTTGTTTGTTTGAAATGAATAGGCTCCGAAACTACTGGACCGATTTTAAAAATTCTTTCACCGTTGGCAAGCTACACTATTCCCGAGTGACATAGGCTATGTTTCATTTAAAAAAATAGGGATGCTTACTAAAACTTGAATAATCTAACCCAAGGTGTAAAAAAATAAACAAAAAACTTCCTTCATTCGCTGCGAAAACTATTAATGATAGAACAAAATGATGTATTAATTTTTTTCAGGACATATTACTATTACTATATTATACCTATCTATAAAAAATGTCGCGACAGCATGTCTCTATCTTTTATAGTTCTAATTTCGCTGTTTTTCTGATGATTTTTCTTTTTTTTCTGCACAGTGCCATAGTTGTTGAAAATTTTATTTTATGTTTATGTTAAAAATTGATATTAATTTTAATGTGTGCTTGCATTGTCGTGTGTGTTTTAGTTGTGTTTTTTTTTTTTAATTTCTATTTGATTTTTTTACTGAGAAACTTATGCTTGCATTAATTGTCACACATTTTAGATGTGGGATTTTGTGAAATAGTTGGTGGACTTAGGACTGTATGTGATGTTGTGGGCTTATAACTAAATAAATAAAAATAAATAGTTACGTCACAATAAGCATCCTTTTATAATTTTTTTTTTATTAGAATACCACCGCTAGAAAAGGCTCTTTATTCGTACCTAGGTATTGATCCTTATCAAAATAAATACCAACGTTTCACACAAGCTACAATTTAATGGCATAACCACCAAAAAAGCATGGTGGATTGGTGTTCTCCTGCCGTTTCTCTTGAATAGTTTACTACTATGTAATATAACAAAAATCTTAGCCACAGCAACGCTTGGCCGAGTCTACTAGTTTCTAATATAAATAAATATTAGGACTTATCTTTTAAGTTATTCGTCGTATAGTTAAACGAACTTAGCCCAGACTAAAACCTGAATAAGTACATGAACATACATGACCACAGACGGAAGCAGATAATAACCTCATTCCTGAAACAAATTAAATGTTGTTTTTCAGGTCAGGACGAAGTAGACTACATGAGACAAGTAACAATCCTTGTTTTTGAAATCTTAGAGAAGGCTTGGGCGCTCCGCGACTGTGCCCTTATCGATATGAAAATCGAGTTTGGTGTCGATTCTGATGGTACGTAATTAATATTGTATATTTTTTATGATGTGAATTGATGCAAACCACCAAACTAGAGTCTGAATTGCTGGACCAGTAATGCCAACTCCTACATAAATTCCCCCCTAAATATCGATTAAAACCCCTAAATATATATATAATAAATATATATATATAATATATAAATATATTCAAGTAGTATTAATTTCAATCTTGGAATGTTATAGCTGATATTTTGTTGTGTTTGAGTTTAGTTTGTTGGTTGGGTTCCAGGCTTATTATAAATTGTATAGAATGGTGCGTTTAAAAAATTATCTTGTATAAAGTAACCTCTATACTTTCTAAAACCCCGAAATACATCTTAATTCCCCCTAAATTTGGGGGGAAAATAACTGAGTGGGCATTACTGAGCCAACATAAAAAATACAACGAAGAGTACAGATTACCTATAGATTTCATTTCATTTCATTTCTTCATAACTTGAGTTAAAAAGCCCTAACCAATTCGTAAAATAAGCACATATTGGGATATTTACAAAAGGTATATAGATAAGCCGCATAAAGAACAGTGTTGGCCTAGTGGCTACAGCGTGCGACTCTCAAGTCACATCCCTAAGGTCGTAGGTTCGATCCCCGGCTGTGCACCAATGTACTTTCTGTCTATGTGCGCATTTAACATTCGCTCGAACGGAACCAACAGTCGACGGCGTGTGTCAGGCACAGAAAGCTGATCACCTACTTGCCTATTAGAATGAAAAATGATGAAACAGATTCAGAAATCTGAGGCCCAGACCTAAAGACGTTGTGGCGCCACAAATATATACAATAAAATATAAATGTTAATTTTTCTAGGAAACATTCTCCTTGCTGATGTCATCGACTCAGACTCATGGAGGCTGTGGCCGTCTGGTGACAAAAGATTAATGGTTGACAAGCAGGTACACAAATAATTTAAAACAAATGAAAACGTAATAATTAATAATATAACCCTGAGTAGTTTTTAACTGTTTCTGTCCTTGTTACCAAGTTCTGATAATTATAAATTGTCACTAAAATTGTATAATGCTTGATATTTAATTATTTATAAGCCCTAAAACAACAGGTATGTTTAAAATATACAATGACTTCATAAATTTTACACACATACTCATGGGGCCGTTCAAGTATTAATTAGTAAGCAATTTATCCCCTCCCCCCTATCTTTCAGCAAAAGTAAGCAAAGCTCTCAAAAATAAAAGTACATAAACGTATTATTTTTTGAGGAATCCGAGAAAATATATTTCGTTTTCAAGCATAGAGAATGTGTAGGTAATATTTGTAAAACAGTTAATAATTACTGTTGACGTAAACACCAAATAAGAAAATCAATGGACCCCCCTCACCCCTATAGTGCTTACGTAATACTTAATAATAATAATAAGTGTTCTGTGGATTTTCATGATGGCTGTGCAAATTGGGCCTTAGTATAAAAGCTTATTGAGCTATTATCCCAAAATCTCCAACTAATTAAATTTCTGGCTAAAAGTATTTGTTCTTATAGGTCTACCGTAACCTAGCAAATGTAACCGCTGCTGACTTGGACACAGTGAAACGCAACTTCGCCTGGGTCAAGGACCAACTCGACCACTTGAAACCCAACGTTCACCACAAAGTCGTCATCTTTATGGGCTCCCCCGCTGATCTTGAACATTGCAAGAAGATCGCTAAAGGTAATAAAAGAGAAGTCTAGACAATTTCAAAAGGGAGATTTTAATTTTCTAAAGTATCAAATTCCTGGTCAGAACAAATCATTTAATTTTTTTTTTAATTCCAGCCGCCAAGGAACTAGGTCTTGACGTTGACATGAGAGTAACTTCAGCACACAAAGCTACAGAGGAAACTCTGCACATCATGCAACAATACGAAGATACACACGGTGCTCTGGTGTTTATTGCGGTTGCGGGCCGATCAAATGGCCTTGGACCAGTGCTATCTGGCAACACTTCGTACCCCGTTATTAACTGCCCGCCACCGTCGGATAAACTAGTTCAGGTAAGAGGAAATATAATTTATACTATTTAAAGAGGGTTATTCGGCTTTTAAAATTACTCTTCTAGTAATTCTAGTAATTTACATACATCTGTAATGCTTGACCACGCAGAATATTATAATAAATGTATAACTAAATTTATATAATTAATTTCAAATTAAACCAAAGAAATCACAAAGGGCATTGCTTTAAATAATTTACTATTGATTTGTAGGATATTTGGTCATCTTTATCTGTGCCGTCTGGTCTTGGCTGCGCAACAGTCATCTACCCCGACAGCGCTGCTCTTATGGCAGCTCAAATAATTGGTATCCAAGACTACATCGTATGGGCTCGTCTACGGGTAAAGCAACTCGAAATGGCAGCTTCCTTGAGAGTCGCTGATAAAAAAATAAGAAACCTTTCCTTGGAATAATTCTTGATTTATAGTTGTTACGTTTTTAAATAATGTTGTTTTTGTATTATTATAGTAATCTCATATCACGTATATGACATTCCATTTTTAAATAAAAGCTTAAGTTTAAAAATACATTCTGGTTGTTTTAGTTTACTTGTACCTAATGTACAGATACCGTCAAACATCTTGAACAAATGTCCTTGCCTACGCAGAAGCGATTTTTAGGTATCACTGGGAGGGGGGGCGTTGGGAGAGTGACGTGTCGATCGCGTGATTGGTAAATCAGTTGACGTTAGTGTGTTTTTGTATGTAAGTGTACGATGCGCAAACTTTTCCCCACTTCCTTGGTTAATGCTCAAGAAGTATGCCGGTAACTGCAACCGCAATACAAATTACAATTTACAAAATATATACATTATAAATATTGTTTTTCTTAATGTACAATAACTGACTCTGTGTGCCTACGGGCAAAAGCAAAACAAATTACAATTAACTTACTGCAAAACACAGTACTTCCCTTACCAATTACTTATTTTTAACCAATATTCCTTATCAAACGCAAATAGAGTTTTACTGCACATAATTAAACGAAGTTATTATATACTGCAAATACATTTGGACAATTTCTTGTAATCATAATATAATATTTATACATAATATTTTTAATCATTGCAACCCACTGCAGAAATTGTCGCTGTCAACATTTTGTTTTGTCAGTTGTCAGCACTCTGAAAATAAATGTCAATGTTTGCTATTACAAGAAGTGCAACTGTGAGTTGTGGATTTTTAGGCTTAAGATTAACGCGCAGATATATTTTTACGTACAAAATGAGTGAAAAACCCGCAGATTATAGTTTAACCAATGGGTTTGAGAGCAAAACTCCTTTCTTAATAGGTGTTGCAGGGGGTACTGCTAGCGGCAAGGTTAGTACTACAATCTATCACTAATTATTTTACCAATCAATCGATTTTTGTATGGTACTTATGAGTTGCATAATATCATTCTCATTTATCTTTACGTATTTTGATATTTTTGCTTTGTATACAAACTAAACTGCTGAGAAAGATCTTTGTTTGTATAAATGTGATATAACCTTCAATAAGCATTGTTTATAAGTAACTTCCGTTGCTGTTTTCATTTCTCTCTGTAATTAATGATTAAAGTCACTTACTAAATCAGAGCTACGCAAACTGTCCCATCTAACATTTATAACATAAACAAGCTGTTAGTTTTTTATACTGAAACTACTGAACCAGGTCTTGAGATTTGAGTACAATATTTTATGTTTATTAATACAGTTTAATTATTATCCTTAATACACAAGGATTAGCTTATGATTTTTAGTAAAGTTCTTATGTAAAATTAAACTTTTAGGATAAATAAATATGTAAAAGTAATAGTTATAGAGAAAAACAATATAAAAGATCCCATGTCATGCGGTTATAAGTAGTAGCAAGCTATTATTTATAAGGAACTTGCTAGACCAAATGTTATTTAACCAATGAACCATTAACATTAATTGTTAACAGTAAAAAAAATTACAACAATCTGTTTTTTTTATTTGAATGTAGTTGAACTTACATATTCAATTTTGACGACTCATTGGTCTAGTGGTTAGTACCCCTGACTGCGAATCCATGGGTCCCGGGTTCGATCCCCGGCTGAGACTAACATCGATGTGATGAGCATTTGGTGTTGTGCTTAGGTCTTGGGTGTTTAAATATGTATTTATATGTCTATCTATTTATAACATGTATGTATATCCGTTGCCTAGTACCCATAACACAAGCTTCACCAGCTTAGCATGGGACTAGGTCAATTGGTGTGAATTGCCCTTAAAAAAAAAAAAAAAAAAAATTGAAAAGAATATGTTTAATCTTTAATTTTAGTCAACAGTATGCCAGAAAATTATGGAGAAGCTTGGCCAGCAACAAAAAGAACAAACAGATAGGCGAGTGGTATGCATAAGTCAAGACTCATTCTATCGTAGTCTTACACCTTCCGAGAGGGTTCGGGCCGAAAGAGGTCAATTCAACTTTGATCACCCTGATGCATTTGATGACAAGAAATTATTGGCCATATTAAAAGAAATTCTTGCTGGCAAGAAAGTTGAAGTTCCTGAATATGACTATGTTACAAATTCTATAAGGTAAGCTAAACAAATAACAGCTTACTTATAACATTGTTTAAATAAACATTGTCTGAAATGAAATATCTAAATAATTAAACTGTTTCTAATATCTAATATCTTTCTATAGAGGAGCTGCTTATTTCAACTTTTTATTAGATTTACCAATAAGTGTTTAATGATAAATGCATTTTGTTGATTTTGATGGGCCAAATTCTGGTGTGTACGTTTCTGTTTTTAATGCACTAAAATGGTGCCATTGAAGGCTGATAACTGATAAGACTTCCATATAAAGAGAAACAGAAGTTTTTTTGCACATGTTATAGTTTCCCAGGAAGAAATTCTGAATTTGAGTTAATTGTATAACTTGAATAAATTTTACTAAATGATATTTTATAAATAAAATTGATATTAAAGCAATATTGTAATTACAAATAGTGATCGTTCGCACACTATCTACCCGGCTGATGTGGTGCTAATTGAGGGAATCCTGGTGTTCTACTTCCCAGAAGTAAGGGACCTGTTCCACATGAAACTTTTTGTTGACACTGATTCAGACACAAGACTTGCTAGAAGAGGTATGTTTAATTTCATAATAAATTTGTATATGATTCCTTTTTAGGTCATATAAATAGAATTTTAAGGTTGCTTCAATATAAAATAATTATTCAAACTAAACTAAGTTTATTTACTTTTATAGTATACCTAAAATACTGATGCCTTTTCAATAAAACCAAAACAGTACTAAAAGGAATTAGTATATAAGTTTAATCAGAGAGATAAATCTGACTTAATTTTATGGAAATAAAAAATAGTTTTAAAAGCACTAAGGGTAATTCAGAAATGAGACTACCTTACGTCAAAATCCAATAGGATTCTGGCATATGGGAGTAATACTTAGCCCATAGACCCTATTTTATATTGTTGTTATTATTGTTCTATATTCATAATACTAGGCACAATTATTAATTGACAAGTTTAAATCTGATGTTTACCTCGGCCTAATACACCCAAAGTGATCCATTCAAGTATTGAAAAGCGTGTAAACATTACCATCAGGCAATGTTTACACGCTGTTCAATACTTGCAAAAGAATTTTTATTAGCTTGAGTCTTTAAGTTCATCCTACAGCATCATATTATTTACTGTGTACATCAGAATGCAGGTCTTAAACCATCTATGACGTGTACTGGATGTACGATATTTCAATCAATCAATTAATCAAAATAAGTTTTTTCAGTTTAGATGCGTCTTAGGGCATGCTTATGAATGTCAAAAACGTTTACAAAATTCGCGAAAGAGCAAGAGAACGCCATCCGTTCGCAAAACTACCAGGAGGCCTTGTTCTGAAGAACGGGTAAAAAAAATAACAAATTTTAACCTCCTTCTACATGACAATTTTTCAAAGGAAAATGTCATAAACCACAACGTCATTAAAGTTACATAAGTAAAAAAAATAAAAATCTGTCCTGTGATTTACCACATTCACCATTACACACATATTCACAACACTTCAAAGATAACAAAATTTGAAGTGCATCATTTCGCATCGATAGCCTGGCATGTTAATTGTCACTAATTACTTAAATAAACTAATCTGCATGACAATGACTTAAGCACTTAAAAGGCAGTAAAATATAAGATTTAGCACGAGCTATAACTACAACAGATATTACCCTTATTTATTGAAATTACCGAAAAATGTGACGTATGTGTTAGAATTGGATTTCACATACTGAAGTCATGTTAAGCTTAAAGTCGCGCCTGTTATAAATAATTAATAAACGTTTATATGCTAAGAAAGTTGTACATTTTGATCGATAATTATAAAATCCGCAAAATCAGTCATATAAAAATAGGCATGCAAATGTCATATTAATTTTCATAATGTCATAATAATAAGTTAAGTTACTTATAACTAGTTCCCTGCACGTTTCGCTGTGGCACATTGTGATTGAATGGTTGAGAAATGGGAAACAAAACAAAGAAAACATTTCATATAAGTTTAATCTTGCAATACTTTTGGAATAAAAATGAAAAAAATAAAAAAACAATCTTTGATGCTAAAATTTCAGCTAGATCGGTGCAGAACTTTTTGAGTTTTTGAAGTGCACACAAAGCAACATAACATTTTTATATACATATATATAGACTAGCCGTTTCCCGCCCGCTTTGTTGGGCGAATTAAAATAGGAAATAAATAAAATTTTATGTTTCATTATTATTTTTTTTCTTTTTAACTTCCCGCTAAGAAAATTGAAAATTTTCGAAAATCGAGTTTTTAACAGATGTTGACGTTTTGAGGTTCTAGGAAGCCTCTTTTGTTTTTATTAGCGGGATAAATTTTCATAAAAGTAAAACAGCAATAAAAAAATAATAGCCATAAACCATCTAGGAAGGAATTTCGCATTGAATGGCAGTAGTTTCATGTCGATACGATCAGTGGTTTAGGCGTGAAGGAGCCTCAAACGAAGACCATTTTTCTTATTTATATACAGATTGTTGTTAAATTTAAGGTAAAAATAAAGGTTCATATTTTAATTCGTACCGACAATCATAATCTCGACCGGACAGCTTTGAAAACTAAATTTAATTTTGACCGTAGAACGGAAATAAAAAACAAATTTCGTTTAAGCAAAAATATGTTAAGTATCCACATATTGCAGCTATGATTTTTTTTTCAGTACCACGTGATATAATGGAGCGCGGACGGGACTTAGAGCAAGTACTCAACCAGTATATGAATTTCGTCAAACCAGCGTTTGAAGAGTTTTGCCTGCCGGTGAGTACTTTTTCTTTCTAACGATGTGATAATTAAGTTCTTTTGCAGAAATTGTTCTTAAGGCCCATTTGGCTTCAGATATTTGTTTTATTTATTAACACTTCGTTGCATTAACATAACCAATATTGAATTTAATGAAAAGGAGGGCAACTGGCGGCCTTATCGCTTTCGAGCGATCTCTTCCAGGCAACCACGGTGAAAAAAAAGATATAATGCTAAGAGAAGTTGGTAAAAGTACTAAAATAACCCTTATGCATGATCTGTTGTTTAATTACTACTTCATTCTCGTGAACTGTAATACCTTTTCCGACTTAGGTTATTGCACAAAAAATTTGTTTTTTTCGAAAACTTAGAAAGTATTGCAGAAAAAAAAATGGAGCATCCACTAATAATAATTATAAGAATTGGTAAATTTATAAGAAACCTTACTAAATAAACCACTGGAACTGTAGGTTAAATGAATATAAAGCTTTTTTGTGTTTTTTGAAACGAGTGTTTGAAAGTATACGGACCGATTCCGACTAGGGACTCTTATTTTTTTTTTGATCTAAAACTAATCCAAGCTAATTAAAATAGTAATAAAAATATTTCATCACTTCTATTTAAATCGTACGTAGAAAGATTAAATTAACAACAGTTTTCAAGAGACGGTTTTGTACCCGGGTTATTTGATATTCGAACCTAACTTCAGTATGTCAAAATTCAATTCGTATTTGACATACAAGAGTCAATCTTAGCGCGAAGCCTTACAAAATCTTACTGAAGTATGCAACAGAGTATACACATATTAAAAATATTAATGTAGTAAACACAGTTAATGACTTCCTAGAAGACAAAAACGCGTGACAATAGTTCTAAGTTATATTGTTCTAATTTGTTTTGTTATCTTTGAAGTTTTGTGAATATGTGTGTCATGGTGAATGTGGCATTGTGACATTTTCCTTTAAATAATTATTGTAATGTAGAGGGAGGGTAAAACTTGCTGAGTTTCTTGCCCGTTCTTCTCAGAACAAGGCCGCCTGGTAGTTTTGCGAACGGATGGCATAGTCTTGCTCTTTCGCGAATTTCGTAAACTTTTTTGACATTCTAAACTGAATAAACGTATTTTGATTTTTGATTGAGTACATGCACAACAATATTTAATGTCAAACTGAAAATTTAAGTTTGGTGATGTGTGAGTGAGCGACTCTTACTGTGTATGTTACTCCCTTTATTGACGTAAAACGTAATTGCTTTTAAATTATAGTTCAGAGACCGTTACAATAACTATTAAAGGAGCTTTTAAAGTCCAATATACAAGCGATAGCCAATACGAAAATCTGGGTTAAAATTTCAGATCGATTTATAATCAATAAAAAGACAAAAGTTGTGATATGCCTGGCAGCTTAAAATCGTGATCCCAGAATATTCTAAGAGGAAGATTCAGAAACTAAGGTTTGACCTAAGTCTGTCTCTCGTACTTCAAAAAGGCTGGACCGATGTTAGTTATCCCTTTTTTGGTGGATTCTTCTCAGCTCCGAATAGCTGAATAAGTAATACAATATCTGATAAGTTATCGAATAACAATAAATAAGTAAATTAATTTTACGAATGCAGACGCCAGACAGCATGAGGTGACATCTGTTGACAAAACTACGCATCATTTTACGTCGAATTCGTGACAGTTCAAGAAATTCCGATCTTGAGGTGAATGAGGCAAACCAGGCTTTGATCTTGATCGAAGACATGTGTTACCTCATAAAAAAATGTTTTATACGAGAAAGTGCTTTAACATGCAGTATCGCAATATTGGCGCTAGAGACAAGAGGCCTAATGTGTAATACTGCCATTCCTTTTTCGCAATGGCCAGCAATAAAACATCTCTGTATTTGCAAAGAAAGTTGTATTAATATTATTACTTTAATGAAATCCTAAAATAAGTTTAACTAAAGTAACAACGATATTATTAGACTGTAAGGTGGAACATAGTTAGCTAGTATAAGTCCCGCACGTTCATATTGCGACTGGCGGCCATCTTAGTGACGTAGTCGAACTGTCAGTGTCAGTACCGTGCGCAAGGTCAGCCAGCGCTTTCACGTATTGAGTACATCTACCTACATCTTATTTGTTAAGTTGCCATTCAAATAGAAAACGTATCAAACAGACAAGACCTCTTTCACATTTATAATATTAGTAGGTAATTTAATAGGTAATATTTATAATTAAATAGCTATAAATATAATACACGAAAAGATGATTACCGATACCTACATTCAAGCAAATAAATGAATATTATTATTATTAACTTCTTTGTTGTCTGTACTTTTCTGCGGTGGATGACGTCACGCAGCTGTTATTGTGACAAGGTTCCATCGCAATATCAACGTGCGGGGCTAGTATACTATAACGGTTAGGCGGAATAATGGCACGTCTTCGTGGATTGCACTATCTATAGCTTAAGTTGGTTTCTAATATGATAAAAAAATGTAGCAATAAGCTTTATGATAAACAAACATCCTCACAATAAGAAACTTGAAATTTAAGATTAGCGATTTTATTTTCAGACCAAAAAATTCGCGGACGTCATCATTCCACGCGGAGCCGACAATTTAGGTAAGAATTTTCTTTTCTATCGATCGGTTTATAGTGTTTTTGAAGATATTCACAAGAACTTTTATACCTCTCTAAGGTGAGTACACTGTCATAGCCACTGCAATAAGCGTATTTCTCATTCACTGACGTACGACCCGACTAATAAAGTGGTAGCTAGTTCGAATAATAGTAAATCAATATAATATAGCGTTAAAGCCTTTTTCGATACGAAAATCATACGAAACAGCGTGATAGAGTAATTATTAAAGATGTTTTAATTACCTACTCATGTAGCTTATAAAGCGATCAAAATTACGTTTACATTGATTTAATAGTTTTATTGAAATGTTATACGCACTTGTTTAAAATAGTTACACATCTGTGGATATTCGGCATATATAGAAATCGAATATGTTGAAATGTTTATAGGCCAATTGAGATGTAATTTACAAACAAAAAACAGCTGGCATACAAAAAATATTACAGTACTAATATCGCTATTAAAAAATGTTGGTTATTGGTATAAGGGTGAAAATTATGTTTAATGCCAAATCATAAAAGAATGGGTCACCAATTAGTGGTATAAGTTTACAACCTATTCTCCGTCACACAATATTTTGAATAAAAAGTTTGACTAAAAACACTGTGACACGAGAATTCGGCTCAATGCTTCTAAAAAATTAATTAAATTCATAAAAATCGAACTAAAACTTTCGATTCCGTTACCACTTTATTCGTCGGAGCTGATTTGCAGCGGCTATGTACTAAGCTGCTATATAAGTAATTTCGTTGTTGCAGTGGCTATTGACTTAATTGTCCACCATATTTGGGACATTATGTACAAGAAACGACCACGTGTCAACGGTTGTAATGGCTTCGACGAAGACGGCAGGCGCCTCTCGGGAAGCTCGGAAGATACGCTTAGCCGATGAGTATTGTATTAATATCATATGAGCGTAGTGTTAGGTTAATAGTACATAGAGTCTAAATGAGGGAAAAAGTGCGGGTTTACTGTCCACCAATTGACGTATCTATGGCCATATATGTCACATGATGTGTCACAATTTGAATAATGACAGTTCTATCACGTAGCTTCGAATAGACATAGACATAACATTTATTACTAATGAAACACACACACAGAAACACACAAAATAATAAAAAAATAACAAAAGAAAAAAAACGATTAAGGTACATTTTAAGTATGTAATGTGTGCGTTAAATGACGTATTTGTAGAAATATTTATACGAGATTTTTGGCAAATTGTTGATAGACGATGATAATTTGTTCTTATTAATAAAGGGCTAGAGTTCGTTATTCGCACACAATAAGGTTTTTATACAAAAGAAAACCAGAGCTTTCGGGGGGTATACTTTCTTTATGCTGTTGCACTCCTCTTTAGCTATCACAGAGCACTATTCACACTTACTAAGAGATCGATTTTCTTAATAACGTACATTAGATTCAGAGAGAGAGAGAGATTCCCGAATGTCAAAACGTATATATATAACGTACATTTCACCATCATACTTAAATGCGTCTCGACTTTGAATTTTATCGTATTTTGTAGCGCAAAATTTATGCGTTCTTCTACGTTTTTAGATTGACTGTCAAAGCGTCTATAGTCGATGAACTTGAAGCGAATTTAAAGAAAAACGTCTACAAAACCGAAATTATTACTTACTTATTAGTTATTCTCGAGAGCTTAGGGGCTGTTCAAGTATGTACGTTAGCATTAAAGGGGGGAGGGGTTGTCTTCGATTTTCTTATTTGGTGAACAGTAATTATTTAATTTTATACACATATTGTCTATCCTTGAAAACGTAATGAATTTTCGACAATTCCTACAAAAAAATAAAACGTTTATGTACTATTATTTTTGAGAGCTTTGCTTACTTTTGCTGACAAGAGGAGGAGGGGGGATAAATTGCAGTAAATCCGTTTACGTAATACTTGAACGGCCACTTACTACCAAATGACTTAATTACTTTAGTTGCCGTAAAGCATTTGAAATATTATAAATAGTTTCACGTTTATATACTTTGAAGCGAAAATACACAAAACATTTGCAAATACTTAACCTGTTTAGACTCGTGTCATCCATTTAACACTATATAAACTAGCACTATGCTCATTTGTAGGTTACCAATATCAAAAATATGTTACAAGCATTCATACTATCTCAACAGATGTTTGTTGAATTTCCTATGTACCTTTGCAAGCACAGAACTGAACTTTTTGATTAATTAAGTGGTGATTTCAATACGTCTTACATGTTTTTGGTATTGGTTATTTAAGAATAATTTTTGGGAATTTAAACTTAGACTAGGCGATAACTTGGACTTGTATTATACTTGATTTCCGATCAAAATAGATATGAGAATGATTTTGGAGTTTAGAATGATTATGCAGTGATGGCCTAGATGCCTCGTATGCGACAATTTATCTTTGCTTGTATGGCTTCTCCGTACGGTTCACATCGTGATGAAAGCGGCATGTACTCTTATGATTTAGACTTAAGACCTGTATTCACTTTGATTAGTGATTTGTGCAGGTGGTTAGTTGGCTGCGTAGTAAAGTGATTAGAAGCATGTTCTATTTTTTTGCGAGTGAACTGTGAGTAGTGACGTCGTGTGCGCCCTCACTACCTGCCACCTGTCAAAACACGTCTGGACAGGCAGCAGGACTCATCGGTCAACCTGAGAGCAAAGTAATATACCGTATATTCAGCAACCAATTCCTTATAGAGTTGGTAGCTTGCGCCATGAATGGGTCTTCTATTAATCCATTTTCGAAATCAATTTTCTTGGTCTTGCAAGTTCAGCTTCCAAAACTTCTTCGGTTTCAGATAGCACCGCTTTTAATACTTATTTCAGTTCTTCTTCCAATCAAAAGAGCGCTTCTGGATGTTCGTCCAAACTTGCTGATCGATAGCTATCGACAACTGAATTTACTTAACAGAGCCTCTAAACAATAATTGGACACTACTTGCACTACACACCTGCACTAATCATCCTCAATTACTAGTCACTTGCACTCGCACTAATCAAAGTGAATACAGGCCTTTACGCTCAGTGATTGTCAAAAACTCGGTTTTGACAGACGAGACGCATACTTTAGCGCTAAGTATGTCTCAAATCTTGACGCTAAGTAGTAAGTACAACTTTAGTACACTAAAAGAAAAATGATCATAGGTAGGTACTATTTGCGTCTTAAAAACATTTTTACGAATAACGGAGCGTAACTTCCTTATTCGTAAAATATGTTATCCTAATTCGTAATTCGTAGCCTGTGAGTTGAATAAAATGTATGACCAACTAAACAACGTACAATGTGTGTACAGCCTAAGTATTCGCTCTCAGTACAAGTCGGTTTTACAGTAAGTAAAAGACCTATATAGGCCCTTGACCATTTTTAATTAATGATGTGAAATGGGATAATGGGATAGAGGTTTACAGTGGATGACACGGCTAGGGAAACCCTATATCGCATTTATAATATGAATTTTTGGTCGGAAATCCCAGTATTTATCATTTAAGTTATAATAATATATAGATAAGCCTGAATGTAAAATTATTACAGCATTTATGTATCATATTTTTATACAATACTTTTAAGACATATGTTCTATGTTCAAGAATATTTTACTTAATAATTACAATGTATTGTAATGCGTAAACGCCCTCAAAACACAAAAAATGGGTAAATATATTTAAATAATTTGCCATTCAATACAAATTTCTTCAGTTCCTACTTCCTACTCAAGTAATAAAGTGCAAAAGTGCAATGATTTCATTTATTTTTAACAATTCAAAAATATGCACAAAATTTATCGTTTTCTATGTGGCCTCATATTTGTGTTCGTGTCATAAAATTTAACGTGACAAAGCCAATAGACAAAATCACAGATCTTCGAAAATCCATAAACAATAGATTACCGTAGACATAGAGAATTAGTAGACTTGCATACAATAATAACATGAACTTAGGTTAAAAATAATCTATTATTAAAAATATCTATTAAAATCGATTTTTTTACGCGATTTTTATATTTAAAATAATCGATTATTGATCGATTATTTTTATAATTGAAAATAAATCATAGTCGATTTTTCCACTGCCACCTCCCGACATTATGTTTGGTCTTTTATAACCCGGACCTCGAACTATTACGGATATTTGATATACATCGATGTTTAGAATGCGATACATTGCATACGATTCTTTGAAGATGTATTGATATACTCGATGCATTGATGTTTTTTTGTAAAACATCGAAAGGATGATAAAACCAGTTAATTTTAGGTACAAAGACTCAAGTTTGAATGGAACACTATAATTTAAAAGTAAAATAAATTTATTCAGCAGCACAAGATAACATACAATTAAAAAGACAACAAAAATACTGCAATTTGCTACTGAAAAGGCATAACTAAGCATTTATCAAATTTCACCTAAAATCTATCAAAACGAGATTAAGTTAATTTCGATTTTGATTATTCTTAAACGTTAATTTGTGTTTATAATTTCTATTGTTTATTTTTCAGTAAAAAAAAAAAAAAAGATATTTAGGGTGATTATTTTGAAATTAATTCAAAAATTAGGAAGAAATCATAATAATTGCCTACCTCTGTTTCTTTTATGGCCTCTTGGTTGCCATATTTATTAATCGATTAATAAAAAATCTATTTTTTATGCAGAATGTCACATCCCTACTGGAGAACGACAAACGACAATGGTTATATAACATTGTTATATTGCATTGTTATTCTAATGTGTACAGTATTGTTTTATGTTATAATGTTGAATAACAAGGTTACATACTGTGGACGTGTTATAAAACACAAGTTATATAACATGTTACATAGTATGTACGCACCCTAAGGGAGAAAAATACACATGTATATATTGAAAGGCCGGCAACCCATTTGCGAGCCTTCTCGCAGTGTGAGTGTCCATGGGCGGCGGTATCACTTAACATCAGCCCGTTTGCTTCCTATTACATAAAAAAAAGTGTGTGTGTGTCAGCTACGACGCACGATTGGAGTTTACTCCTTACGAACGATAAAATGGCGATAATGTTCTGTGGCTGTCGACCATATTTTCATACTAAAGGTGGTAAGAATATATGTTTTTATAATATAAATGTTTGTAGTAGTAATAAAACGTACCTACATCATCTATGCCCAAATAGGATTTTCTTTCTGTGACCAAAGTTACCTTTATAGTAAGAGAAGAATAAGAATGAACAATCTTTTTAGTTTTAATTTCACTGACCATTACTATTGACACAACTCTATGGCACGCTAGACAATCTACTTTTATTATTTACACCTGTCTACACTGACAATGTTGTAACGTGGCTGTCAAAACGTGAATTCAAAATAGAAAAGTCTGTGTAATGTATTCCATCTCATTCTTTTACACGTTCAATCCTACAGATATATATGTTTGTCTAAAAAAATTCCGTACCGGGCCTTATAACTCAAATCGTTTCTTAAGGAGTAAACTCTATATGTTTGTCTCTTTCTACATAACGCCTCAACTTTTCGTGTTACACTTGATTTTACTCCTCATAAAAGTTCCGTACCGGGCCTTATAACTCAAATCGTTTCTTAAGGAGTAAACTCTATATGTTTGTCTCTTTCTACATAACGCCTCAACTTTTCGTGTTACACTTGATTTTACTCCTCATAAAATTTCCGTACCGGGCCTTATAACTCAAATCGTTTCTTAAGGAGTAAACTCCAAAACTCCGTCACTATTTTGAATCGCCAAGTTTTTGGTTTTAAATGAAATTGTATGGAACTGCAAGCTTTGACCATGCTTATCGCGTAGAATCAGCTCATAGCATCATCTGTTTATCATTGACACACTTTCGTGTTATGATTGTTTTACCCATTCCTGCAAACGCGATTTTATAAGTAACGT